CATGTGTTACTGTTTCTATTTTCTCGCCCAGCCGGGGCAGATTCTTATATTTCGCGTAATTTTGTTGCAGCGCCCTAGCTCCATCATGAACTGGTGGCTTGCTATGCGGCATCTTTCCATAGCGTGCCAATTCCACGTTGAATGTTGGTAGTACATGTCTGGTCCAAAATTCTCTGCCGGGTTCAGTTCTTCGCAATCCTTTGCTACCATTGTTTCTACGCTCCTGACTTTGGCATAGTGTCGCAGAATTGGACTGGGCGGCAGGAGTAGTCTTAGTGAGCAACTTGACAAACCTCTAATAGGAAGGTGATGGTGGCCATGTGTTAGACCAGAGTCCTTCTTGCTTTGTCTGTGGAAGAGCTTCCGACGAGAAACGAAGGGACATCAGCCGACCGGACTAGTTGTTTAAAGATATCTTGTTCATTCTTTGCTTGGGGAGTTGTCTTCTCTTGACTTGGTTTCTTCGCTTGGGAGGAGGATTCCCATTGCCCACAACACATCGTGGAGCGTCGTCCAAGCTCGGGCCGTGTAAGACTTGTGATGCTGATCATCCCTTGATTCTTCAGGCCCTGTCCGGCTCGAAAATTCCGGTTCTCGGCTCAGTCCCAGGATACTGCCTCAGAATGGTTCGACGCAAAGACGAACTGGATGACCACATCTTTGGAGGTCTCGTCGAAGCCGCCAGAAAATCCGTTCTTGCATCGCAGCTGCGGGCTAGAAAATCGAAGTGTCGGCTTCGCTGTCCCCCTTTGAAGATCCCGATCAGAGCCATATGCGCGAGCTTCACGACTTCCTGGCTGGCAAAGGCTCGTATGTATGATCTTATGACTTCACTCTCGACTTCGCCATGTCGTCCGTGACCGCTCAGGAACGTCTCGACGAAGACGCCAACGTTGGCTACTCCAGCTTACGTTTTCAAAACATTTGCTATCAGATAGTGTCTTTAAGTCTCGATGACAAAGGACAGCATCCATGTCTTCGTCCACGTTGTGAGAGGCGTGGGCTTGCTAGATCTGGTTGCCAATGAGCAGTGTAGCTTGCGTCTTGCTCTTGAGGACCAAGGACGAGGGTTCCATTTGTGGAATCTTGTTTGTGGACGTGTTCTTCTCTTCGTGGGCTTGTGCACTTCATACCGCAGTCTTGCTTGCTCTTGCGTCGATCTCGCACAATAGCTCCTTGATCTGGGTGCCTTAATCTTGTTCTTGGCATGCGTCGATCTTTCGCAAGGGCAGTAAGGTGCTGAGGTGGCGCTGGGCGGTGACGTCCTCTTGCATTGTAGCAAGACGAGATGGCGACGTTTGAAACTGTTGGAAACTCGGTGATTGAAGAAGCTTGGGGGTCTTGTCGCGGCTGGCAATTAATCTTGTAGGGCTTTGTCTTGCCGGGAGCTTGTGTTGAGCTTGTGTTGCGGCTGGCTAAGGAAGCTGAAGTGGACTCTCAAGGACGTGTTCTGTTTGAGGACTCGAGGACGTGGAGCTGTGTGGTGAGATCAACCGAGCAAGGTCTTGACACTCTTTGAGGACGTGGTCAATCTCCTCGGATGCAACTACGTCTCTCGCTTCAAGCCCGCAAGCTGGTCTCATGCTCTGCTCCCATGCCAAGCACGATCTCACAAGATTACATTCATCTTGCCTCCAAAATCTTGTTTTTACCAGCACCAGCCCCGAGAACCACAGCGCAAACTCCACCGGGTCCCGTAGACGGTGCTCTTTGATCTTGTCTATTTGATATCGCACTTGGCATGCTTCAATCTTGCAGGAGAGCTTCTTGATTTTTCATGTTGTTCTTGTGTTGGTCTTGCATGCATGGGTGGCACTGGTTGTGCATGGGCGGTAGGAAGATATTCGATGTGTAGTGACGTTAGTAGTGCTAATGTATTTGCCCTCGTAGCTGCGATAAGTGATGGCCGTGTGAAGAGCTTTGGGTAGGAGAATTCTCAATGGTAAGCTGTGGCGGGGTGGTAAAATTGCTCCATCTGGCGTTGCAACCATCGCTGGGAGTGAAGAGGTCGTGCCGTTTGCCGTGGCAATGCCGCAGTTGGCGATGTTGTGTGAAGATGACAAGTTAATTTTTCCAAGCTGCTCTGAAGTTGCTTGATTGAGCGGCTGTTTGTAGCTGCGCTTTGGTGTGGAGAGCAGCTTGCGGGCGTGAAGACGCGACCTGGCAGATTTGAAGACATGGCGTTGCTCGAGTGTGATTTCCGTCGGGTCGGTCGGTCGATTGCTGTGATTGGACGCATTCGCTCGCGAGGACTCGATTAGAGCTTACTGCCGAAGACACACTCTCGCCCAATTCCCGTGGAGCTATGGCGATCTTCCTTGTTCGCTTCTTTTGTAGAACGCTTCCTTTCTCGTTGCTTGGGGCATGAGTACGGAGAACTTACATCACGCTCGCGCTTGTACGAAACATTAGTAGTATATTCTTATGGATCCTTGTACGGAACTTTGCTCACACCACACAACATCAAAGACCCATGCGTGAAGATTTTAGTCGTCAAAGTCCCCGTATAAGCTTCGTCCGGCCGAGAAGATTTTTGACAAATCTGGTGATCATTTGTAACATGTTTGTTTTTGGCGAGTTCGTTCAATCATCTGGGCTCAACGGAGTGCTGCTTACACTTGTTGGGCCCGAAGTGTTCCGAAGATTTTCGCACTAATTTGTGGCATTGGCCACAGTAATGGTTTTGGCAGCTCATACAAAATATGTGATTGTTGTTTCCAACCTGCCAGAATCCTCGAGACATCGAAAGAAGAAAAATAACCAACGAGAGATACCTTCACGTTTGGCTGGCCACACGAAGGACAAGGCTTTCCAAACCTTATGGCTTCTTGCCGCTGCTGCTGACGCTGTTCCTGCTGCTGAACCAGCTGCCAAAGCTGCGCATTCTCCCCTCTGTCGTCATCGTCGAAAAGAGTGCACGAATTGCTGCAAAAACCAGAAAGAGTTCGTCACTCGAAAGCTCGACTCCACCGAAGAAGTTTCACCTGAAGTGAAGATAGCCATCGATCCGCTTCCCGCATTTGAAGCAAAAGTACTGACCACAGTTGGAGCAAGTCATTTTGTTGCAGCCCGCGGACTTGGAGATGGCCATGCCGCACGTTGGACACGGTTTGGCGTCCTTCTTGACAAAGTCGAGATTTTTGAGCTCGTTCACCAGGTTTTCTTCCCGCTTCCGCTGGTCTTCTGAAAGGGACCCTCGATCCTGCAAGAGTAGAGTAACACAAATGTGATGGTGGCAACAGAGAGAGAGAGAGAGAGAGAGATTGTCAAACTTACGCGAAGGATTAACAAGCGAGCCTCTGGAGTGAGGCATTCCTGACCGACGTGCCTTGCCGCTCTGCAGAGGCTACAGAAACTGAAGAAACATCGGCTGCATTGTGCGTCATGATCTCCCTCTTCAATGCATGCTGCACCACAGCGAGGACAGTAGACAATGTCGCTCATCGCGTCCAGGGTTTTCTGCAGGCACAGCTTCTCCCATCTTTCAAAATCCTCCTCGGAAAGAAGCTCTTTCAGCGCAGATGGTGGAATGCCTCCCTTACAATCCGGACACTTCAAGCTGTTGATGGAGCCATCGGTGACGTGAACTGACATGTACTGCTGCATGCATTTTCGGCAGTAAGCATGTTGGCAGGGAAACTTTATAAATTCTCTTCCTGCAATGAGGACCGGTTCGTCAAAGAAGAATAAAACTTCAACGTAAGAATGCTTACCAGTGGATTCTTCGAAACAAATGGTGCAGAGATGGATGGAACTGAGAAACGTACTGAGTTGCATCTCCTCGTTGTAGCGAAGTAGGGAGAGCGCATCCTCGTCGAGGGAGTTGCATCCAGAGATAACTCTTGGATCGTGAAGCTCGAGCGGCTGTTGAACCAGCTCTAGTTTCTCGAAGGCTTCAATGGCGCTCAAAGCTTGAGAGTGGAGAAACTCCGTCCAGGGATAGACCACGACCTCCCCCTTTTGATCCTCCCAAATCTCCAGCAGCTTATCGCTGAGGCGAATAAGCCTGTCCGCAGAGAGCCACTGAGCATGAAGTACAAAAGGTGGACGAGAGTGTGATGGATATGTGCTCGGAAGAAGGCAGGCCAGATGAATCGGTGGGAGGTACTGTAGCGTAAAGCTGTGCCGATTAGTTGCTCCAGAAGAAGGCAATGGACGTTCCATAGAAATCTCGATGCTCTCGAAGGCTTCCAGCGTGACCTCTATCTGTCACGAAGAGATAGTATATAGCAAGCTAGAACAAAAGGATAGACTTTACCATGAAGCAGCGAAGATCACCATCGCTTTCCTTGCTCAGATGCTTGAAACTTCCTTCATAGATAGCTTCCAAGGCCAAAATCTACGTCCTCACATCAGCCAACTGCAAGAGAAAAGAAAAGAAAAGTAAAGAACTTACTTCGTCGTCTTGTTCTTGCTTGTTTTGAGAAATCTTGTCATCAGCAATGGCACTGGCCGCCTCCGTCTTATCTTGCTCCAAAAGTTTTCGCAGCATCATAGTTTCCAAATCCTCGAGCTCGGGCCGCCCAGTATCATCACTAGCAAAAATCCCATGCACATTGCCGCTGCTGCTCGCACCGCTGTCTACCACAATTCTATGCTCCTCTAAATCCTGGACAAATACTTCCCCAAAATCGCGAAGATCCTCGCTCTTCTCATCGCTCATCGGCCGCGAATTCCTCCTCCCCCTTCGGTTCCTCCTACTTCCTATGAATTCCGACAGACGCACACTGACGCTACCTGGTGACGAGATCTCATCGTCGGCGGACGCGAATGCCCCTAGACTGTCCGCCGCCGGCGAGACGCTGAGCGGCAGCGGAGATCCCGCCGGCGGCGATGGAAGTCCGCTCGCTACAAACTCTGGATTCTTGGCCAGCTGCCGGATGATCTTTCGGGCGCTGACGCTCTTTCGATCCATCCACACGCTTACCGGGCCATCGCAGACAATGAATAATAGGGTTCTACTTTCACACGAAAGTAGCTTTTTGTAGTGAAACTCGATGTTCCAATCAAACTAGCTTTCCTGCTTGAAACATGAACGCTCTTGCGGAGGACCAGCGCATGAAAGCAACGCTTTTTTTTTTTTCTCAAAACTTTTGGATCCAACTTCCAAAACTTGGAGCGATTGTTTTCCCGATCAAACCAGCTTTTGTAGCAACTGGATGCTCTCCACTCTCAGCTCCAGTTCTCCGACCATCTTCGCGAGTCTCGCACGATCGGCCTCTTGGACTTCCTCCGAGGCTTTATCCTTGTAGACCTGGGACGAGATCTTCTTCTGGAAAACTTCGATCTTCCTGCGAGGATTTCACACCGACAAATAAGAGACGATGATAGCTTGAAACCTCTGAAGAACTTACTTCGACTCTTCGTCTTTCTGCTTGAGAAGCTTGCTGAGCTCCGAGCTGAGATCCACGATGCCTTGGAGCATGACATAGGCCGATACCTTGTCGTTCACAATGGTGACCGCACAGCCCGCTGGTAGCTCCGCAACATCGTTGCATATCTGCAAGCATCACGATAAGGCCAGCTTTCGCAAGGAAACTCTTTCCACTCACATTCACGCTGGAAAGGTTTGCCAGTGTTGCTAACTCCGACGAGTGATCTGTGAACATTGTGAAGAGTTCTGCGTCTCCTGTGACAATGAAACCTCCCGGCCTACACGAGACAACAATCCTTCGACTCAGTAGCAAAATAGCAAATGAAAAAAGTTACTTTTGCTTTGGTTGCACGCGACATGCCGCACAAAGAGCTCGGACAGCCTTCACAGTCGATAGTATCAAAGTCATTTCGGCGTCGACAGCTTCGTTATCCAAGTCCTAGAAGAGCAAACACTCTATAGCAACGACGTCTTTGATAAGATCAAATGAGTACCTTCCTCCTCGTTGGATAGCTAGCCAGCATGATCGACGAGTTCTCCTCCTGGGCTCTTGGCAGTCTCTGCCACAGCTCTTCAGTGACGAACGGCATGAAGGGATGTAATAGCCGTAGTCCATTCTCCAGGCATACCCACAGAGTATCTCTTGTCAGCTTCTTGGCATCCTCTGAGTCTCCTTTCGATAGTGTTGGCTTCGTTAGCTCGATAAACACGTCGCAAAGGTCGTACTGCCACCAAGAGTAAATTGCCGATGACGCTGCGGACAAGTCGTATTTCTCCATATGTCCATCCACGGCAGCTACGGTTCCGTTCAAAGCAGAAAGAATCCACTTGCAGCTCCACGGCAGCTCGGAAATATTCAGTTCTTCAGAGGGAATGAAGTTGTCACCCAGGTTCAGCATCGCAAATCGGATTGCATTCCAGAGTTTGTTGCACCAGTATCTGTAGCCAGCCACACGCTGGACATCCAAATTGATGTTCTCGGACTGCACACAAATGGAAGGAGTTTAGAAACTTTCCCCTGTGGGAAGAATTGAACTCGTACCTGAGCAGTGTAGTTCACAAGAGCAAAACGAAGAGCATCAGCTCCGCAAACGGGAATTCCCTCAGGAAAGTCGCTTTGCAAACCGGCTAAAGCCGTCTTGTATTCGGCTGGATCCAGGTTTCCTTGCGACAACTTTGCCTTGAGACCGTCCAATGTTATACCGTGAATCACATCCAGTGGATCTATCACGTTGCCAAGGGACTTGGACATCTTACGGCCATGAGCATCTCGGACCATTGCATGCAAGAAAATCTGAAAACGAGGGAATGAAAACCAGTTTAATCACGTAAAAATTACCTGTTTGAAAGGTACTTCTCCCGTGAGCTGAATTCCCATCATCACCATGCGAGCAACCCAGAAGAAGAGAATATCATGGCCCGTTTCGAGCAATGTCGTCGGATAGAATGCTTGGAGATCTTTCGTAGCTTCTGGCCATCCCAACACAGAGAAAGGAAACAGTCCGGACGAGAACCACGTGTCGAGCACGTCCGGGTCCTGCTCGAAAGAGATTATTTTCTTTCCTGAAAATTTCTCCTCGGCTGCTACTCTGGCCTCGGTCTCGCTTCTAGCCACAATCCAGTGATCATTGTATGCCCCCATTTCTTTTAGCTCGTCACCTTCAAACGTACAATACCAGGCTGGGATCTGATGCCCCCACCAAAGCTGTCGCGAAACACACCAGTCTCGAATGTTTTCGAGCCACCTGCAAATGAGCAAATAAGCCAAAGTGAGAGAATAAATCTCAACTTACCGAAACCAGGTGTCTTCAAATTGACTCGGGATAATCTCAAGCTCTTTCGTTCGCACCGCGTTGCAGGCTTTTGCAGCTATCTCCTTGCAACTAACATACCATTGAGGCTTGATCATCGGCTCCACGACATCGCCGGTCCTGGAGCAAACACCAAGCCTCATGGAATTATCAGCCACGCCCCTGTACAGACCCTGCACGTAGAAGAATTTATTAGCATTCTACCGCAAGTTTCTGCCTTACTTTGTCCTCCAAGGCCTTCAACACAGCAGCACGAGCGTCAAAACGCATCATCCCCTGAAAATCTGGACCTCCGTTGCCGTTAATCTTTCCATCGTCAGTGAGAATATTGATAAACTGAAGGTTGTGCCTCTTTCCAACAAGAAAGTCATTCGGATCGTGTGCAGGGGTGATCTATAAAAACAAAAGAGAAACAGAGCCGGGTGTAAGAAAACGAAGCACATAGAATTACCTTCACAGCTCCAGTTCCAAAGTTCATATCCACCAGCACCGCATCACAAATGATTGGAAGCTTTCTCCCGTTGAAAGGATGAACAACAAACTTGCCGTGTAAATGCGAGTATCTGGGATCCTCTGGATGGACAGCCACTGCCGAATCACCCAGCATAGTCTCTGGTCTTGTCGTTGCCACAACGATCTCCCCTTTGCCGTCTTCCAAAGGATACGCGAACGATGTTAAGGCCCCAAACTCGACAGTAGACTTGTATCCTGGTACTTTGCGGAGAGTGCGTTTTTCGACATCAATATAATCCACCTGAAAAATTGCTTTAGTGTGTAGTTTAGCAAGTACAAGAAGACTACCTCTATGTCTGAAATTGCTGTTCTCAAAACGCAATCCCAATTCACGAGACGATTATCTCTGAGGCAACGCAAAATTAGATAGCGGCACACTTTGAAAAAAGTAAAAACCTGTATAGAAGCCCATCCTTGTGAAACCGCACGAATGCTTCTACGACAGCTTTGCATCTTGGCTCATCCATTGTAAAGCACTAGCAAAGAACACACATTACATTAAGAGCAACATTTCCGCAATTATCTTACCTCTCGGGACCAATCGACAGAAGCTCCCATTTTTCGCAACTGGGAGAAAATGCTAGTTCCATGTTGTTCTTTCCACGACCACACCTGCAAGTAATATTTAGCATAGTCCAGGAAAGCGGTGAAAGAAATACCTCTTTCACAAAATCCTCCCTGCCTACGTCATGCCTCGTCAAACCCTTTTCCCGCATGATTTTCTTCTCTACAACCACCTGTGCAAGATCCTCAGGAACAAGATAAAAACAATGGGACTTGCATTGTACCTGTGTGGATATCCCAGCATGGTCTACTCCTGGTACCCAAAGAGTCTCATATCCTTTCATTCTTCGCCATCGCGTGAGAGTGTCCTGAGGACAGTGAAGTCAATATAGAATGAGAAACAAAAGGAAAATTACCTCCACAGCGCACATCAGAGCGTGTCCAATATGCAAAACACCCGTGACGTTTGGTGGTGGTATTACCTGAGACACAACGTAGTTTAGAAACTCGGGAATGAAACATAGAGAAGAGAAGTATTACCATTACAAACTTGGGCTTTTGACTGCTGGCATCGGCAACAAAGAAACCTTGCTTCTCCCAGTACTCATACCACCTTAGAAAAATAAACTTAGAACAAATTCGAGAGACAAGAATGCACGAAGAAGTTTAACTTACGATGCCTCCACGAGTGCCGGATTATAACCCTGCGCCATCACAGGCGCCAGGCGTTTCTTCTCGCCGGAAGAAGTGTAAGGATTTTTGGAATCGGGCAAATCGTCGTTAGACTCCTTGCCTTTCTTCTCCTTCTTAGATTCCACCTGCTGCTCAAAGAAACGAGAACCAAAATCTAAAACATCGACATGAAAAATCTACCTTGGCGGCATTTGCTTCGAGTTTCTTGGCCTCGGCCTTCTGCGCGGCTTTTAGCTTCTTGAGCTCCTTCTCCCTAGCCTGCCGAGCGCCAGCGCTCGCGGATTTAGAACACGCACCGCAGCAAATCCAGGAGAAGAGCTGGAAGCATACCTTCTCTTCCTTCTTCTTCTTGCGCTCCAGATCTTCTGGCGCGCCGTCCTCCATGCTTAGCCGAACCCTGCCGCTGCTCAAAACCCTAAATCCCGGGACTACTTTACAAAAATTCCTTTTGACAAGAAACATACTACCACTAGGGCCGCCCCCCAGCAGCATTGTCATTGTCCCTGCCTATAGTCTTTCTCTTCCACACTTTCCTCGATTAAAATCCCGGGAGAAACTTTAGCTTTAGAAATGCGGTGGTGGTCTTAAGGAAATCTTCACCACGAATCTCTGCTCGATCCATCACCCAGAAAATCCTTGTTCTTCATCAGCCAAAAACTTGGTTTTGTATGACCCAATGAGAACTTTGAGCTCTTCCACAGTCATTCTCCAAGAAAATATGACCAAAAGAATGGATTTTGTATGAGCATCCACGATCATTCTCCTAGGAAAAAATTCTTTCTTCCCGATCTTCATGGTTTTGTCCCAATCTTTCTCACGCATCAAGCGAAAATCCCACCGTGTTTGCGATAAGCAAATCACGATTTACGCAATGGATAACAGCGGCTTGGCTATGGTGGATCAGGTGAAACATCCAGTTGATAAGTCGACGACCTTTCACCACTTTCTTTTTCTTTGGTGCTCGTTTTTTTGTGCTCGAAAAATTCGTGCTCCGCTCGCTGGGATATACTCCCCAGATGCCTTGGCCTGCAGTATAAGTCTGGATCAAAGTCGGGTGGCTTTGAGGAGATCACCGCGTCGCCGCCATGTCTTCGTTGCGCTGCTGCCAAGCTCTGTCCGCCTCCGATTTCCTGGCCAGGAACCAAATCTCCTCCGAGGCTCTTGGGGCGAGATCGCTGCCACAGTCCTGCAATGCCGCCGCCGCTAGGAGGAAGATTTGCTGCTCGCAGCGGCCACATTTTGTAAGTGGGTCTCTTTGAATTCTTTCCTCTCGAGCTGAAATCTTTGGATTGCGTCGTCGCAAGGCTGTAGAGACGAAAGTGGCAGCCGCAGAGAGGATCAAGACAGGCTTCCAGAAGTTTAAAGCGGAGACATACACGTAAAAATTCTCTTTTTTCTTTGCTTTTGCTCTTCAAGGTGCGAGTTTTTGTGGTGTTTTCAGGCAGAATCCAGAGCTTTTCAACGAGCTGGCCAACGGACAATCTCCCAAGGTCACCGAATCCTCGAAACGAATTCCTTCGCTATAACTTTCTCGTGATTCTGGAACAGTTCATGGTGATTGCTTGCTCTGACTCGAGAGTTTGTCCCACCACCGTTCTGGGGTTCCAGCCGGGAGAGGCTTTCGTTGTTCGCAACGTTGCTAACATGGTGCCTCCTCCAGAACAGGTACTACAAAATCCAATGACTTTTCAAGCTCAAAAACATAAGAGACCTTTCTCGAGCATGATCGTCTCGTGAACAGGCTGGTTATCCTGGAACAAGTGCCGCTCTGGAGTACGCTGTCACGGCTCTCAAGGTAAATCTCTCACTCCTCTCAATTTTTTATGTCGCTAGAGTTTTTTGTTCTCTGGAAAGATTCAAGCTTTTAGTGTCGATTCTATTCCTCAAGTTTTGTTTTTTCGGAGCTCTTGCGTTCCCCTCTTCTTCTGCTTCTGGAGTGTTGAAACTTTTGGTTTCTCTGGGATTTCTGTGTTTCAAGCTCTTTTTCTTCTTCTTGACCTTTCATTTCTCTGGGATCTTTGTGTGTCATAAGCTTTTCTTCTTCTTCTTGTCTGTAGAAACTTTGCTTTTCTCTGTGTATCAGGTCGAGAACATACTGGTAATTGGACACAGCAGATGTGGAGGCATCAAAGCCCTCATGACTCAGAAAGAAAACGCAGCCAAGTGGAGGTAACTTTCCAGCCATCTTTCTCATGATCTCACAAAGTTCTCGGTTTCCTCAGTGCTTTCATCGAAGACTGGATCGAGATCGGTCGCCCTGCCCGTGCATCAACGCTCAAGTCCGAGCCGGAGGGGCAGATCGACCACCAATGCACGAAATGCGAGAAGGTGTGCTCAAGATATCTCTTTCCCTCTTACCAATCCCTCAATCTCGCGCCTTGCAGGAGTCCGTGAACGTCTCCCTATCCAACCTTCTCGGCTTCCCGTTCGTCAAAGAGGCAGTAACCAGCGGCACAGTCGCTCTCCACGGAGGCTACTACAACTTTGTAGATGGCGCGTTCGAGTACTGGACGTTTGGAGCTGATGGAAAACCCGGCGAAATCTCCAAGTTCTGATCTTGCAATCGAGAGTATATAATCTTCCACAGATCAAATCGCCTCACCTCACCAGTGAGTGAAACTCCAGTTGTGGAAGAAACCATAAGAAAAAATGCCTCTGTCCAACTTTATAGCTTACTTGGCGGGATGGAAGGTTTTAGGGTTTAAATTTTAGGGCTCTTGAGCAATGAGGCTCGTCAATCTTGCAGTGTCTAGCTTGAATCAATGGGCGATGAGCTTCGATCACAACCTGAGCAACACCAAGCAGTCCATCGCCATCGCTAGGGAGAGCGGCGCCGCCTTCCGCGTCGGCCCCGAGCTGGAGCTCACTGGATATGGTTGCGAGGATCACTTCCTGGAGCGAGAGACCTGCATTACCGCGTAAGTGCTTCGATCGATTTCTAGGGCTGGGGATCGATCGATTCTCGCTTTGCGCAGGTGGGAGTGCCTGGCGGAGATCCTTTCCTCCGGCCTCACGGATGGGATCGTGTGTGATATCGGCCTTCCCGTGCTACACGAAGGGGTGCTTTACAATTGCCGGGTGTTTTGCCTCAATGGGGAGATTCTTCTCGTTCGTCCAAAGAAGTTCATGGCCAACGATGGAAACTATCGTGAGCTGCGATGGTTCTCGTCGTGGAAGCGGCACAAGGTGGTGACATCTTTGAATCTCCCCGAGTGTGTGCAAGCCATTAAGTCGCAAAGAACAGCACCATTTGGAGACGCATACCTCTCGTTCCAGGACACGTACGTGAAAAAAAAAATTTTTTTGCAGTGGATTCTAAGCTTGCTTCTCTCTCTCTCCAGGGATCTTGCGTCCGAATGCTGCGAGGAGCTCTTCACTCCCAAGCAAGCCAGCAGCGGCCTGGCACTCCATGGCGTGCAAATTATTTCCAATGGAAGTGGCAGCCACCACCAGCTTCGAAAGCAGCGTACAAGGCTCCGGCTCATGAAAAACGTAACCGAGAGATGTGGTGGTGTCTACTTGTACGCAAACCAGCAAGGCTGCGATGGCGGGCGGCTTTACTATGGTAAGTGGACGCTCGCAAGCATCGTCACTGGATTTATTTTTTGCAGATGGATGTGCCAGCGTTGTGATGAACGGAGAAGTGATCCTCCAAGGACGCCAGTTCTCGCTGCGTGATGTTGATGTGTGCACAGTGTGCCTTGATCTAGACGAGGTGAGTGTTATTCTTTTTTGCTTCTTTGCATGATCGCTTCTTGCTTGCAGGTCGTCAACTTCAGGGCCTCTAAAAGCAGCTTCCGCGAGCAGGCGAGTGAGCGGCGTTCTATGGCTTGTGTCAACGTAGCTGCATCTCTCTGCGAGTTAAGCTCTAGTCGATCTTTGCGAATTAGTCGGCCATTGAAGGTAAGGTTTGACCATCAATGATATGTTCCAGTCTCGTGAGTTTTAGAAAACAGGCAACTCGATTTCTACCAGAACAGGAAATAGCGCTGGGGCCAGCGTGCTGGCTTTGGGATTACTTGCGTCGCAGTGGAGCTTCAGGTTACTTGCTCCCACTCTCTGGTGGTGCTGATAGCTCGGCAGTGGCTGCAATAGTTGGCTCCATGTGTCAGCTTGTTATCAAAGGTTAATCTCCATTCTCATCCACATTCTAAGCAACGTTTGTCTTTGCAGCTATTCACGAAAACGATAAACGAGTCTTGACTGATGCGAGGAGGATAGGAAACTATAAACCCGATGAAGAACCAGCCGATTCTCAAGAGTTCGCTAGCAGGATCTTCTACACAGTGTACATGGCTTCACAAAACAGGTAAGCCGTTTTGCGACATGTAGCTTTGACGATTCTATTCCTTTTGTAGCTCTACAGAAACGCAAAGCAGGGCACAGCAGCTAGCTAGAGAGATCGGCTCCAACCACTGGAACTTGAAGATCGATATGGTCGTGAACGCGCTCATCTCTCTCTTTTGTGGCTTGACGGGAAGAATTCCGCGGTACAAGGTCTCAAAACCTTTCTTTTCGTGTTCTTTTCTTCTGTCGCCAACACCACTTGTCTTCCGTGCCTTCAGGTGGACTCTGGTACTCCAGTCGAGAATCTAGCACTACAAAATCTGCAAGCCAGAGTCCGGATGGTGATATCATACATGCTAGCCTCGTTGCTTCCATGGGTCGGAAGAAAGAAAGGATTCCTTCTCGTGCTCGGCAGTTCTAATGCCGATGAAAGCATCCGAGGATACATGACCAAGGTAGAGCTGCAATGCTTTCTTTTCTCCTCTTATGGTATTTCTCGTTTAGTATGACTGCAGCTCCGCGGATATAAATCCCATAGGTGGTATTAGCAAAAGAGACTTGCGAGCATTCCTTCGCTGGGGAGCACAAAAACTTGGCTTCCCTGTTCTTGCTCAAGTGGAAGCTGCTCCACCAACGGCGGAGCTGGAGCCGAGCAGCGATGGATACAAACAGGTACTTGGCCTAGAAACTTTCATAAGCTTTTCTCTCTAACGCTGTGTCTCGAATCGCTAGACGGACGAAGAGGACATGGGGATGACTTACGATGAACTTAACAGTTTTTCTCGTCTGCGAAAAGTCGACAGGCTTGGGCCCGTCGCAATGTTCCAGGTAGAGTTTTTAACTTTTCTTTCTTGCTCATATCACTCGCTTTGTACAGAGATTGTGCCAAGAGTGGAATGGACTCCACCATAAGCAAGTTGCGAACAAGGTGAAGGATTTTTTCCGCTACTATTCCATCAACAGGCACAAGATGACGACTCTAACGCCAAGTTACCACGCGGAGGTAATCTTGCTTTGATCTTTCTTGAGTTCTAACATCGCTGGATGGATCGCAGAGCTACTCTCCCGACGACAATCGTTTCGATCAGCGCCAGTTTTTGTACGACTCGAGCTGGTCGCGGCAGTTCATGAAAATCGACGAGCTGGTAGCGAAAATGAAGAACGAAACTCCGCTTTGATACGCTCGTTTCATCTTCTCGAGGCCTTGTAAATGCTTTCCATCAACACGCAAGCTGCCGCGTCCATTTCACCCAAGTTCTTCAACGAGCCAAACGCGACCCTTCCCCCGGACTCGTCTCTCCACTTCGTGCATGCTCCTAAGACCGTCAGCCAAGCCAACGAGCTCGAGTCCGCTGGCGTCGACTTCACCAAGGAAATCGCGGCATCCAGTTGACTGGAGCGGCCGAGAATGTCCACCATACAGTGATAGTGCTCGAGCATCGGAGTGACGCCATACTTGGAGCTCATGGCCTCGAAAAACTCCTTCCCCTTATCCGCAAGGCCGGCATGGCTGCACAGAGCCAGGACGCAGACGAGAGTGATCCCATCGGCTCGGAGACCTTCGGCGGCCATCCCGCTGAAAAGTTCCAGCACGCTCCTCACATCCCCTTCCCGACTGTATCCAGCGAGCAAAGCAGTGAGTGCTACAGCATCCCTGGGTGCGAGTGAATCGAACGCCTGGTGAGCCTCGAGCATGCTCCCACACTTCCCGTAAAAATCCACCAGAGAAGTCGCCAGTGCTCGGTCTCGCTCAAGACCTCTCCTACAAACTTGAGCGTGGATCCGCCTCCCAGCTTCCACGGCAACAACACTCCCGCTGGCCTTCAACGCAGCGACGTACGTTCCGGTGTCCGGCGAGCAGCACTCGAGCTCCATTCTCTCGAGAGCTTCCAAAGCCAGCTTCCCCTGCCCGTTCTCCGCGTATCCACCTATGAGAGAGTTCCAAGAGACAACGTCACGCTGCCTCATCCTGTCAAACACCTTTCCGGCGTCGACCATGCTGCCACACTTTGCGTACATGGCCACCAAGCTGCTTGCCACGAACTTTTCCTCGTCACATCCACTGGCAGCGGCCCGGGAGTGAACGTCCATTCCTTTCCGGAGAGACCCCACCTTAAAGATCTTCCCATCAACTTGCGTGCCTTGCTCTCTCCCCGCCAGCCCAATGCAGGCCTTCAATGCCACAGCAAACGTCCACGCATTTGGTGGACAGCCCTGTGCTTCCATCCGTCCAAGGCAATCCAGAGCTAGATCCTCCTCCGCATTGTCAGCGTAACCCAGCATGAGACAAGTCCAGAGAACAACGTCGCGGCATGGCGCGGCGTCGAAAACCAGTCTTGCGCTCGTCATCCTCCCACACTTCGCGTACATCTCCACCAGGCAACTTGCGAGGAAAACATCCGAGTCGAGGCCACACGCTGATAAAAGCGAGTGAATGGCAGCTCCTTTGCGTAAAGATCTCGCCTTTCCATCGCCAACTTCTTCTTCTTCTGCCAGCCTTGCGCAAGCCTTGATCGCGGCGACGAAGGTCCGTGCGTTTGGCGAGCAGCCTTCCAGTTGCATACGATCGAAAAGCTCGAGAGCCACTCTGGCATGGCCGCTTTCTACATGCCCCATGACCAGTGCTGTCCAGGCCACCACATTGCGGCTATAACCCATCCCATCGAAAACTCTGCGCGCCTCTACCAAGCTTCCACACCGCGAGTACATGCTGACCAAGCTGCTCGTCACGTAGACATTATCCCTGATCTCCTCCCCAATCTCCCTGTGAATCCTTCTCCCTTTCTCCACATCCCTTGCCTCGCTGCATGCCTTGATCGCGGCGAGGAGAGGCGCTAGATTAACCCTCACCTTCTTGGATTTCCCGGATTTCTGCTCGACCCCGGCGCGCGCTATGGAAGAATGCGGGGTTCCACTCCATGGATCGATCGCCGTGGCTCGGCTGCCTGGAATCGGAGGTGCCGCCGTGATGCCGCAGTGATCTCATCTGGGGAGACTGGCGCCCTGATTAGGGTTTTGGAAAGAGTAGAGAAGAGAAAAGAAATAAAGATATCAAAAGAAAGCACAAGGGCTATAGCTAGGCCTACTCTCTTCTATACATTTTTCTTTGGTTCTTCCATCATCAGCAAGCCATTTTTTCTCGCGACAGCGCCACCAAATGTAAGTTGACTTTGCGAGGATGGAGGGATATCTACAACAGTGAGAAGAAGCTTGTTCCAATGAAGGACACACACATACACACACACACATAGAAAAAAAAACAAAGAGCTCTTTTCTTTTCCTGTTCTTGTCTTGCGAAAGTCAACAGTTCTTCGTGGTGGATGCACGATCGAGCTGACAATTATGCGAGAACTTCTTCTCTCGTTTTTGGTCTGCCTTGACTCCGTGAGAGCATTGATTGATACAGGGAGGGAGAAACACAAGTCGTGGAGACACACAGCACTTACACCTTGGAATGGTTTCGTTTGATTCATAAGTTATGATCGAAGTTCCCCAAGAACAAAATTTTTTTTGGTTCCTCCAAGAAAGACCTGGCTGGAGGAACCACACAGCAGAACTTGTGCTTGTAAGCCATGAGGCAGAGATTTTTATCCTCTTCATCGAAGTATTGGGCAGATACAAACTTCTACGATCAATCAACCTGTTGCTGGACTCGAGAATTTTTCTGTGAAAAGCCCCAATACTTTGATGAAGAACTAAAGCTCTTCCTTTGTTGTTGGCGATGATGATGATTGAATCAAACCAATCAATCAGTCCAGTCAATCAAAATCCAAAAAGCCACAAAAAGGCCGAGGAGGGCTTTTCGATCTCTGTGTGAGTAGTGGTGCTGGTGCTGGTCACTGCTCGGTGGTGTGCTTGCTCGTTGTTAGAAGAGCCTTGGAAGAAGGACACAAAAAAAGAAAAAACTCCCTCGAAGTTCTAAGATCATATATACGTATCTTTTGGCCCTGGCTGGAACGAAGTTGTTTGTGATCCTCGCTCGCTCGTACCTAGCTTCTGTATCGATCGAGCAGCAGAAGAGCTTCAAGATTTCCTGGAGGATTTTTAGTTGTGGAGAGGATCCGGGCCGCTGGGAACGAGGTGCTCGGAGGTGTAGAAGGAAGCGTCCGAGGTGGATGATCCCGGATAGAATGGTGGAGCTCGAGGAGAAGGCAATGGATCGCTCAGCAGCGTCCCTTGCGATGGAGGGCTGTGAGCGGCGTAGCCAAACGCTCTTGAATCATCGCTAGTGCCAAGCTTGTCTTGTTGGTCCACTCGCGGAGATTGTTGATGGTGGCGATGGTGGTGGTGGTGGTGGTGGTGTTGTGAACGAGAGAAGATAGAGGAGGAGGAAGAGGGGGCTTGATCACCACCAGGGACGTGAAGGGTCGTCGTTTCTGTGGATGAATGGTGGCGCTGGTGGTGGCGATCGTGCATTGTCTTCCTCGCGCTGGCCTTGAGATCGCAAAGATCTGCCGCGAGAGCAAAGACGACCGCCATAGCCATGCACCACCTGATGAAGCAGATGAAGAAGCCTGTCATGCTCCTCCCCGTGTCCACGGCTTGCCGATGGGACACGGATTGACATGAAATCTCGGACAAAAAGCCCTCTCTCGATCGGCGGTGTCAGCAAAATTCGAGGATCAATCAATCAATCGGCCCGGAAAGAATGCGCGCTGGAAAGAAACTTTATATATCGCTAAGCTCCTCTGCTCTTTCTTCTTTCTTTATCCTTCTTCCTCCTCTAGACAGGCATTGTCTTCCCAGCTTCGATCTTCACAGAGTCCCTCTCGAGCGCTTGCACAGAATCGCGGCTTATGGAAGCTAGAAAGATCGCCAATTCTTACATGCAAGATCAAGATGGGAGAGTGTGTGTGTGTGTGTGTGTGTGTGTGTGTGAGAGAGAGAGAGAGAGAGAGAGAGAGAGAGGGAGAGAGTATGGACGAATCGGTTCCCTTTATACTTGAAAAGAGAATCCTTTCATAGTGTGTGACCCCTGAGATTCCCAGCAGCAGTTAGTGGAACCAGAAAAACGAAGCTTATCCTTGATCTCTCCCTCTCTCTCTCTTCCTCTCGCTCACTCTGATCTCTCGATCCTCTTCGTCCCGGATGATTTTCATGACCCTTGGTGCAAGCCGGGAATCATTCTGCTCGCCTCTTGACGAGCAGGATCCAATCATTCACGTTAAAAATTGCTTTTTTGGAGGATCCCAGCTCCTCGCACGCCGATCATACTCGAAATGAAACTCCAAACTCTCGCTCTCAAGAACCCACCTCGGGAAAAAAAAGGACTTTCACACACAAGCACATGTCTTATACTACACACTTACAAAGATATCAAATGATGTGAACACTGTTACGTAGTTGTGTTCTTCCCCTTGGTTCTCTTTTTCTTTTTTTTCTGTTCTTTTTTCCTTCTTTTTTTTTTCTTCCTTTGTGTCATGCTATTTCAACACCCGCGCATTAAAGGCTGCGAAGATGCCTGTTTGTTCTTAAGATTCAATCCGAGCGTTTCATATTCTTATTTCTTCAGTAAAATACAAATGTATTCTCCGCGTTTGATCTTCCTTTCCAAGAAGAGATTGACGAGTGTCAGCGTAAGTGAGATTCCAGATAGGTGCTGCTAATGGCTGGTTTAAAATTCCCGAGGAATCTTTATCTTACACTTCCTGCTAGTGGAAGAAGAGATCTGGAACTGAAGTTCTCGCACTGGGAACTTGAGAAACGCTATTAAACGTGTTCTCCAGATGCTCGAATCTTTGAATCCACAATAACATTCAGTCACTGAATTATATGTTGTTTAGTGAGGTCTTGCCCACCAAGAAGCATAGTGCCAATCCAATCCCTTTCCATAATCTTTAAGTTTGAAAGAGTCCATTCAACGCGGAGCGAAACTTTGACTACGAAACATGCCTCCATCGCGTTGAAATGTGGCTCGTCGTCGTGCATGGAACCATCGCTTCCGCTCTAAACAACTATATGTAGACTACAATGCTCATGAGCCATGAATGGCTGGAGCAAGCAAAATTATAGACGTTTGACATGTTCTTCCTCAGACATTTTCGACCTTCGCAGCAGCAGAGATCACTTTCATCACGTTCCTATGTTTGAAGCACCACTTGATGATCATGGTCTCGGAAACATCGCGAAAATGATCCGTTTTTAAATACAAAATCAGTTTTTCCCTTGATTTTTTTTTTTTACTTTCTATCCATTCGTAAGCGAGCGAACGAACGAACCATCAAACATTTATGTCCGATTTGATAGACCTCACCCTCTTGCCTCATTCATTGTTGGCACATGCATTCAAGAGCATTTAATGGCGCCTGGGAATAAATTCATGTGAAACCAATCCTTGGAAGCCAAGCCAAATAGTATTGTGCCTGGCGTTCCTCAGCTCAATGATCATCTTCTCGTATCATCGCTGGTAAAACTTGCCTGATATCCTCGTCTCGTCTCGTCTCGTTTAGCTGGCTGGCTAGCTGGTTCCGCAATCGAGAAAACCATCTTTGCTCGCTCTCCAAATCATAAATTTGACTGAGCGGAGTGTCTGGAGATCTGGAAGAGCCGGACTGTTCTTTACCTTTAGCTTGATTCCCGAGACCCGGAGAAGAAACAATATAAATACCTCCCTCTCTCAGATTCCTTAGCAGCTGCGCATGACACGGAATTAATGAAATGTGGAAGAAGAACAAAAGAAGAAATACTTGGGAGACTTTGGAGTTACTTACCACCACGTTCGCAACGTCGGAGGAGGAATGTCTGCGATGGGATCAATTCACACAACTGTGGCTGGCTTGCGTGTGTCGTGTGAGTTAAAAACTGTCCAAGGACGCGCAACGAAACGCTCCTCCTTGTTTAATGTTATGTCTCGCCGGTGCGCATTTGCATTTGCTTGAATCTGGACTTGGTTCCACGAGCACAGGAAAACACCACCTGTTAGAAGAAAAACGAGCTCTAGAGTTAGAAAACAAGGAAGACAATCAATGCTCAGATGCATCGGAGATACTTACCATGTTACCACGAACGGATAGTCTTTCGTTGCTTCAGCACGGCAATTCAAGTGGTGGCGAGTACCTGATGAAATCTTCTACATTGGCATTGGTACTAGTATATCTACCTGCAAGAACCATCAGGAGAAAAAAAAACGTGTTAGTTTCGAGAAAGGAGAACTTTCGGCCTATGAGAGCGTATAGAGTTTTGCTTTTTCTTTCACTGCGACTGGAAAAAAGGTCAGGATCCGCCCGAACGAACGAATCCTGTGAGCCAAAAGATCTCTCTGGCGCACCATATCCAGCAACGCATACGTACCTTGTATTTAAGCTGTGCCTCGACAGATTACCTTTTTCCAAGGCCCATCAGTCGCCTTCCTCCCATTTAAACAAAAGCCTGACTCATGGAGAAAGAACGTCCCTGCAAAATTCCATGGACACCTCTGTTAGTACATGCACTTGGAGAGAAAAGAGAAAAGAGAAAGAAAAACCAAAACGAAAGGGAAAAAAAAGAAGAAGAAGAAGAAAAAAACGAGAAAATAGATAGAAAAGAACATACCCGTCCTTGTACATCAATCACCTCCCTGTGGTAACAAGCGCCCCAAAATACGTGTGTTTGGTCACGTAGCGAGCAATAACACGAAGCCAGTGTCTTGACAAGAACTCTGGGGATTTGCATGGAGAGAATGTACTCTCGGCCCATCCAGGAACACATAATGTATATTCCAAACCTGACACAGCACAAACACACACTCGTTTCATATCAGAGTCCCAACACCGGTGAGAGCTTTGCCAGGGTACCTGTGTTGCCACTTGACTCATACCGCCATCATTCTCTTAAATCCAGCCAGACTGCCTGCCTGCGAGCTTGAATTTTGTGACAAAAACAGCAAGAACTCGAAACATGGAAGGCTAAAACAACTTACACACGTCGCGCAGCTCTGCTCTTCACCAATTACCTTTCCATTAACGGCCACTGCAAGGAACGCAAAGCTTTCATACGCTCAGATGAAAAAATTCTACTGTCGAGTTGGAGCTAGCTGGCCATGGCAATAAATCGAAACAGGAGCTACCAACACTTTCGAAGCCCAGAGTTTTTTAGAAAAGACAAAGCGAAAACTACTGCTGGAGCACGACCGAGAGACCAAGACCAGTCAGCAGCAACGCAGGAAACTAGGAAAGAGAGAGGACTTACAGGCCAAGTTCTACGTCGCCATGGCAGCAACACTCGCCAGTACGCACTGAGCACGAAAGCCTTCATCACATTTGCTCGCAGAGGTAACATCTCCGTTCCGAGAGAGATTTGGAAAAACGTTGAATGGGACTCGTCAGTGGTGTGACTGTGCCTGCAAAGCAAAAACAAGTTAAAAGCAAAGATGGAGCAAAAACAAAAGAAAAACAAACCGAAAACAAAGCAAAAAAACAAGTTAGAAAAATAAGATGGTCTTGCAAGCATGAAGGAAATTTTTTTTTCAAGGGAGGCAAAGGAACCAAGCGAGTGATTTGGGCACAGGTTTGTGGGGCCGTGGCCATTTTCAATCATTCAAACAATCCCCCGGAATCACTCACCAGTGTCAGCCGCGGCGCAGCAAATTTATGAGCTTGAGGAGACTAGTATGCCGCAGTGTGTTGCTGTGGACGTGAATTATTTTTCGCGGTTGATCAGGCTGTGATGATCCGGAGGCACCATTTTGTCCCATTGTTCCGTGCATCGACAAAACAATCAGATGCCTGCCGAAAATAAAAAAGAGAAAAGAAGCTTCACACTTCCAGAGCCCAGGTCATAAACTATGCTAGGAAGTGAAAAAACATGCCAGGAACTAGTTGCCATTAGAAAAAAACAATGCCAGGAACTCACCAGTTGCCATTCATACCCGCCAGCAATCAAGAACCCTAAAAAACCTCGATGAGTACTTTGACATTTAAATTTTTAAAGAGCGCGGGAAGCCAAAAGAGCTCACCGATCGAAGGTGGCGTGCAGCAAGCGCTAAAACTAACGACTTTCCGTGCTTGTCCACTTACAGCGCTAAAGTTCTCTCCAAATCATGCAAGGCTCTGCGAGAAAACAAGTATTTTGTACGGTATTCTTTGCCCGTTAGGTGACCCGACTGACTATTTTGCGCCCTCGCTTTGCTTGCTCCATCCAAGCTCCAATATTCCCTTTTCGATTCAACGCTTGGCTCCAGCTCCGTGTCGTGATGCCTAGATGTGGCCGCGTGGCTCGCTTGCTTTGACAATCTTGCAAAACAAATCCAAAGAATGGGCCGGGTTCACGGGCCATACATGCGATTCTTTTCCTTGTCAATCAGCTGGTCAATTCTATATACACCAGCTTGGCATGATCTTAAAGCTCTAACTCAAAAGCTAAGCGCTTAGCTATCTAAAGTTTCCAGAATCGGTCTTTAACTTGAGTTTGCACAGTTTCCATCATGAAATCTCGATCGCACTGCAAGAATGTTGGTACACTGACCGGAACAACACACGGCCTTAAATTCTCGCTAGGCTTGACTGGATCTGAAATGCCCAGGAACAAAAAAGAGGAGGAAGAAACAAGCTCGTAAAAGAAAAGGAGTTCTGGATCGAATAGATGGCAATCTAGCTTCACAGAGATAGATGCACGGTCTTGGCCTGTTTCATCTTTTCCAGGCTATGGTTGCCCAACCACACTCTAAAATTCAATGTCTTGGCATACCTATATCTATACCTCGTTGTGACACTGGGTATACGTACTCCTCTACCACGCTCCCGATTTTAAATGTTCTTGTTGTGCATGCATGAATTTGGATCCGCCAGGAGATTCTAACTAAATGGCGAGAGCGAGAGGAGGAAGAAACTCATCAAACTTTTGTGAATGATCGATCAAGTGAGAGAAGGTCTGTGGGAAATAATAGTATAAATGTGTAAGGCAAGTTGCGTTGCTAGTTGGTGACTTTGGAAAGAGGGATATGATCGAGCGAGAAAACTTGCGAATTAGATGATAGATGGGTTTGGGTTTCTCCTCATTCAGAGCGATGGAATCCCAGAGCCACAAAAGCACACAAGAAAAGACAAGCGATTTCTCTAAACTATTACTTGTAACTTTGAAGGACTCTCCGCTGTTCCTGACCAAGTTTCTCGTGCTCTTGATCGATTGATTGGGATGTTTGTAAGCTTGCGCTCGCGGAGTGTCACGAGGGGCAAGAGAGTATATGTAACTAGAAGCCTCGGAATTACTCGCTGCGTTCACGATTTGGCGACTACCGAAATCGATCTCTTGGATTGGATCGAGCGAGCGAGCGGGCCAATTTGATGCGGAGAATTGCCGAATTCTCAATGGTGGACTTCGTCCGTGAATCTGCAAGAGAAGAAATCAATAAATGTGATGGTGCTCTGTTTTCTCTCGCGCGGAAGAATTTGCGAGACATAAATGCTCAGGGAGGAAAAAGAGAGAGAGAGAGAGGATACTCACTCGTTCTGTATTGGATTCGGGCTGCTTGGCACGCGATGGAGCTCCGCTACGAGCAGCCCGCCATGCCTCTTGCTCTCCACCATGAGCGACTGGAGGAAGCGTCGCAAATCAAACTCCAAATCCTTTTGGAGGAGCCTCCGGTGCGCGGACGATTCCACCGGGAGTGGCGGCAGCAGCACAAGAAGAAGCACAAGAAGAAGAACCGCAAGCCTTGATCTCTGCTGGCGACACATGATAGAAATATCTGCGAGTTCTTCGCTCCCTCCTATCGTTCTAGAACAGTGTTGATGGATTCCTAGGGAGAACAAAACCGCTAGCTGCGATGTTATATAGCGTTGTTTAAGCGATCAGTCACAAGACAACTCCAAACACAATTAGGGGTCCCCGTGTTGTGTGTGGCCTTTTAAGCAACAGTGAGGAGGGAAAAGATGAAAATTATAACCATGAGAAAGATAGCAGAAATGCAAAAGTGTATAACTGTAAAAATTCCCTCTCATTCTTTTGTTCTGATGGAACTTGTCCCAAACGGTCGCAAGGATATATAGTGAGATGGTCCATGTTGGTGCTTGAAACGTTGTGTCGGATGTGGATGTCGAGGCCACACTTCACCGCGATCCACCACCTTTTGTTTTTGGCAATCAGCCCAACGCTTGAGCGCGCGAGCCCGACAACTTCTCGATCCTCCACCACCATTGCCAAATCATTTTACTTCTAAACCAACGCACAAATCCCACAAAGCAACAAGGAAAAAAAAAAAAAACATTAGTTAAGTTTTGCCTACTATTCATGACATACGTACTAGAATGCCCATTTGTGGCATTTGCATGCCTAGACACCTTGAGCACCTAGGAAGATGACCAAGTTGGTACCCTGTTCTTCTTGTGTCAGTGTGTTCCAGGGTGCTCGATCCTTCCCTCTCAGTATAGCGGCGGCAACTTGGGATTCTGGTGGGATCCTTGGACACGGCAATTGGGTGGGTGGTGTGTGTGATCCCACACTCTACTAGTCAGTACAAGGTTCCATTCTTTCCAACAAAAGATCAAAAGTGGTAAAACCGTATGTACATTGTCTACGTCTACGTGCATTGATCCTACGTATCGGTTTGAAACCTTCTGCCTCTTTTCCCGACAATGGGGCGCTCAATCGATCTCGTCCAGATTATTGGGGCTCTCGTCTCGCTTGTGTTTTTTTCCCGGTTTGATTTCTCGGAGGGCTCAAAAGGTGGCATGGCGGGGCTTCCGAGCCTCGACATGTCGATCTTTGGTGCTGGAGAGTGTGTTTACTGTACGTGGTTCTCTCCTTTTCACTTTCCTCTGTGAGGACGTGCAAAAGTGGGGCTTTTAGCGACAGTATTGGGCCACCAGCGCTCTACTCCAAGGAAAAAACCGCGGTCCCAGCTGTCCCCGCGAGCCCTAAATGCCGTGGAATATCCTGTTTTCAAATTTAAAAGCGGAGAACGCCAAATTGGCGGCTTCTTCCAACCTCTTGGAAATTCGATCCGGGGACGGAATTGGGTCGTAAGTCTACACACTTGTCGAGCTTATCGCGGAGGAGGATCTTTCCAAGTTTGTTTTAATCCATTTAATTTTCTCTCCAGGCCCACAGTTTCTCTGCCGTTTGTACCTTGTCGTTGCTACCGCACACGCAAAAATGCCTTGGCGTGTACACATCAGGGGGTCAACCAAAAGTTTTTTTTTTTTTTTTTCTAGATGGAAAAACCGATCTGAAACTGGGACGAAACTGGAACGAAAGAACGAGCATCCGTACTTCACCGATTGTCAATGCCGGAAATCGTATTGTAGAACTTTCGCCATTTGTTTTCTCGAGCCGGAGGAACAAACACTCCAAGACATTGTCAAGTCGGGTGGCTGGTCGCGGTCAATCGGGGACAAAACAACTCCTTTCACTGTAACACTCTTGGTTTAAATGGCGCAATCTCTTGGATCCATCGATCAAAGAGTTTGAGCCAGTGGAGCCTACGATGAATTCATGAAGAAAGGATGATCCGTCCATCCATTCCTGAAACTTCCTCCATTTTCCGCTCTCTCGCTCTTGACCGGACAAGATTGAGATCGATGGAGAGCCGGCGAATTCAATGCGCGCAACATGCATTGAGAAAAGAAATAAAGTAGAGCTCGTCCTTGAAAGATTAAAAATTTAGGAAATGAGAGGAGATATCCGGATTCGAACCAGAGACCCATTGATCTGCAGTCAATTGCTCTACCACTGAGCTATACCTCCGCGATTGTGGAAAACGCCATGGTTTTTCAACAATGTGACGATATTTATGAGAAAGCGACGTGAGATCAGAACTCTGCCTAGCTATCTAATCTCTGGCTACGTCAGAGACTTCACCAGAAAATCTTCATGGCCAATCTAGGCAAGCTCTGAGAGCAACGAAGAAAATTAGAAAGATTAAGAAACCAAAGGTGGTCCCTCTAGATTGAGCGCGGGCACAAGCATTTCCACATCCATCGAGTCACGAGTGCCTAAGAGATCTCAAAGCAAGAGAAAAAAGAAAGAAAGAAAAAAAGATAAGAAGTTCTTATTTGGTGAGAAGTCCTTCCAAGTTCACGAAAGTTCTTTCCCAACTTTTCTGACCAGATTCTAATAGGCGCTGCTCTAGACATGTTGGTGTCATGGCCGTGATGTTAGCGTACTTGAATCGGGTCGCGAAAGCTTCGCTCACGTAAGATGACGCAGGAATTCCGAGGCCGTGGCGATGGCGGCCCCAGCGATGGCGTTCTGGACCATCTTGTCACGGCTGTAGCGATGCTCCCCAAAGCTCACGAGCGCTCCAGTCACGGCACCCCCAAGCATTGCGTTCTTCTGGCGGTGATCAGTCAGCGATCTATCAGTGACGCTCTAGAAAAACGAATGGAACTTACCCAGTCGTGCTTCCCACGAACTCGCTCAATTCCATACTCCATTCCCGTATAGAGTCCCGCGATGGCTCCTAAAAAATGTTCCCGAGAGAAAACCAGAAAAAACAAACAAAAAAAAAGAAAAGAAAAAGAAGGATAGCTTCGATTGAGTCATGAACTTTAAAAGTTACCCCAGTGTAACCCGTCTTTTCCCATTCGCTTGAGCTGCAGTAACACAGTAAATTTTCACTCGCGAATTTATTTCATGTGACGTACCGTATACTCGAGATCATGCTTGGTGACAGTCTCTAGAGAAAATGAGAAGAAAAAATTGCCACCAAATAGAATAACACCTGGAGGGGTACTTACGTTTCTTGAGAACTTTGTAAGCTTCCTGGCCAGCTGCATGTCCTGCACTGACCTGCAAAAGAAAATCAAGGGAAGAAATTGGACAAGCCAACCACAGAATCTAGAAAGCTTACAGCTCCAATCTTGAAAAATCCATCCACAGTCCTGTTTAGGAATGGGTTCCCCATGTCAATTACGATGTCCACGGTTGGGGAATTCACGCTGGTGGAGACCCTTCCTTTCGGCATTTTGCTGTGCACAAAGATCAATCAATCTTGAATGCGCTCTAGATCAAAACTCTCTAGATTTTATAGAATTCCATTCTAGATCGAGCATACCTTTTGCTTAGACTTCGATCGAGAGCGCCGCCGGAGCTGCCAGTAGTAAATGGCGGAAGCAAACCTCGTTACGCCATAGCCTCCTCCTCCTCGCCTAGGAACAACAGAGAGATATGGACCATCCAATAAGAACGTAAAGAGAGGAATATGTAGTCCACGCGTTGTCCGCCCATTGGCTTGGCTGTGGTTAGCAACCTTGGGTTTCATGTGTGAGTCTCGACTCTAAAATCTTGATAGGAATTATATTGTTTGCAAACCATGTCTAAGTGCGTAGAAATTAGGCTCTCTTTTGGAAGAGCTTGTGCGAAACAAACCATTCCTGTCCATTGTTGTAGCTGAACATTTCCGCGCCCACGAGGAGGTTTGATTTAAAGCCTGCCAGTCTCTTGCTTGCATTGTCCTCCCCATAAGCCTTTGCAAACAAGGCGCTAACTTGGTCGAATTTGGCATCCAGATTTCTCATCCAGGCTTCACTGCAAGGTTTTCAAGAGCGTGAAGCTATATGGAATCAATATATGGTTACCAAGATCGTCCTTGATGGGTTCCATTTACTCGCCAATGATCCAGTATCACAAAATCGTCCTGGAAATACAATGGCAATGCGTCTGCCAGCATCCTGTTGCCCGTTGTCTAGAGATAAATTACAAGGAGGAGAGATTTACGTAGTTACTAGCAAAGAAAACGAAAGGATATTGCGAGCATTTACCGTGCGGTACGCGAATAGCTTGTGGCAGACATGTTCCACGAAGAGGAGACCTCCTTCGCTCGTAAGATCAGACACTATCTTCATAAACTTTTGATAGTTTATCATGTGCTGCTCAAATTTTCAACAATGCTTAGTTAGAACATCAATGATGGAAGATTTGAATTTAATATTCTATTGTCACCTCGAAAACGCCAATGCAGAAGATCCTATCGAAAGTCTGTGTGATTTTGGTGCTTGTTATGTCGCAATCAATCGCCTCAACGTTTACCAGGCCTCTTTTTCTACAATTAAGCAAGGAAGACCTTGGCACCAGAAAAGAAATGAGAGAGTGCTTGTTACCTGCATTCCTCTTGGATGTGCTCCGTTTGGACTCTTGAATCGGCTATGGAAGTAATCTGGCATGAAGGAAACTTCTGCGCGGTATACATAGCCAGTCCGCCATAGCCGCCTCCAAGATCCAAGATACGCTGCCCGTCCTGGATGCGTGCTCTGTCGCAGCACAGCTTAAACATGGCTTCCTCAGCTTGCTCGTCCGTGAACGAAGGATCCTCATAAAGCAAGCAGCTGAGCATTCAGATTTGAGCATTCTAATTGTCATGAGATCTATGATCAGATCTTGGGTTCTTCCTACCTGTACTTGAGATGCTTTCCAAGCAGGAGTTTGAAGAAGTCAACATCGTAAAGCTCGTCCCGGAAAGAGCCCCCTGCTTCCATGACGGGCATTTTCTTGGCATCTACAAAACAAGATCAAAGCAAATCGATTGATTCGACTAGAATGAGAGGGAGAACTTACTCTGGACGAAATTAACAAGGCCCTGGAGCTGCTCTTCAGCGGACAATCCATACAAGTAGCGCAGCTGCGTTGCCACACCGCGGCGGATCAGCCTTCGCACTAGAAATTCTGGCAGCTTTTGAAGGATTGGGTGCAACACTCCGAAAGGCTCGAGGACCAGCGGTCTTGATGATTCCATGATTTGTCGAAACCCTTTGTGCTCTATTAATTATCATTACCTTCGATAGCAAAAAGAAGAAAATGATGGCCAAGGCTGACGAAGTACGTGCTACTAGCTTCCAGGTTTCCAGGTAGTAAATGGTAGTTTAGTGTATAGGAGTATTCTAAAAGAATATTCAATATGGAGAGGGTCAAATTTGGATTTCTCTCTAAGAATTTTTTTTAACACATTTACATTTGTGTTCCTTCTTTTAAAGAGGATAGGAAGTTATTCCTAAGACCAAGTTGTTGAGTGATACCTTCTTTTATCCTCTAAAGCCCACAATTTTTATAATGCCCATCATCTCCCAGAATTTTGGATTGTTATGATAAACTTTTGCTTCCTTCTTTCACTAGTGATCAATTCAAGCTCCCCTCAATGATTCCTTAACTTGCCACTTAACATGTCATCTACTACCTAGATCACTGTTTCCACCTTTTCTCTTGTACAAGTTCATACTTTTCCTGGAATTTGTATCATAAGATTGTCATAGAGCAATGAAGTGTTAATTTAATTGTCAAAGAATAAAAGTGTTCCGAGGTGTGTTCTCAAGTGAGATCGCATTTTCTTTTCACATAATTCGTTACCGCCCAACTTTGTTTTAGATAGATTTTAGGGCTTTGTAGCCTGCGATGGCGCTGCAGCTGCCGACGTCGATGGCGGCGCTCCAGCGGCCGGCGTTGGGTTCCAGAATTGGTAAACTTTCCGCGCGAGGATTTCCAGTGTCGGCCGTTGATGACGAGCAAGCGGCGCACCGGCAACGTCTGTTCAATCGCATTGCTCCAATGTATGACAATGTAGGTGGCTCTCCTCTCTCCTCCAAGTAAAGTTCTCAAGGATTTTCTTTTTCCAGCTGAATGATGTGCTGAGCCTTGGGCAGCACAGGATTTGGAAGAGGATGGCTGTCGGATGGAGCGGGTAAAAACTCCCGAGAGTTCTCATCCCCCGGGAACTCCTAACATTCATTCATTATCTATCTAGTGCCAAAGCTGGAGACTCGGTGCTTGATATATGCTGCGGCAGTGGGGATTTGGCCATGCTTCTAGCGGAGAAAGTCGGGCCCAGAGGCAAGGTAGGAATTCTTGTCCGAGCCGATGCAAGGTATGATCTTTCGGCCTTACAGGTGACTGGGCTCGATTTTGCTGAAGAACAGCTAGCCTTGGCAAGGGAGCGACAAAAGAAATCATATGGGCGACGAAACATTGAGTAAGGGGATGGGGAAGTGTTTGATGTTTAACAGGAAGAGTAGACTTTTTGCAGGTGGTGCCTAGGCGATGCTCTAAACTTGCCATTCGACGTAGAACAATTCGACGCTGTCACGGTTGGATACGGCCTTCGTAACGTTCGAGATATTCCTCGAGCTTTCGAAGAGATTTTACGTGTTCTAAGGCCAGGTATGATAATGCTGCTAAAAGAGAATTGGCTATCGAGGGTTTGTTGAAGTTCAGGTGCTCTAGCATCCATCTTAGATTTCAACAAAAGCACCGATCCCGTTACAAGCAGCTTGCAAGTAAGATTGTCACAGTTTGTTCTAAGATTACCAGTCATGGTATCGCTGTGCAGGGCTGGATGCTGGACAATGTTGTCGTTCCAGTAGCCTCTCAGTTTGGATTCCGCGAGGACTACGAGTACCTCAAGCAATCAATCGAGAACTTCCACACAGGTATTGCATTTGTTCTAAAGAAATCTTTGCAAATTTGGGAAGGGATTTTCAGGGCAGGAGCTAGAAAAAATTGCAGCGCAAGCAGGATTCTCGAGGGCCGTCCACTATGAAATCGCTGGGGGGCTAATGGGCGTTCTTGTGGTTTCCAAAAAAATTTAAAACTGCGATACTTTCCATTGCCGGGATTTGAACCCGGGTCGCCTGGGTGAAAGCCAGGTATCCTGACCGGACTAGACGACAATGGAATGATGAGAAAGTTAAGCTTTTACTCGTCATAACGATTCAAAGAGACCAAGGATATGCTGCCGCATATTCGCAAGTCGGGTAAATGGCTAGAGGTTTAGGGTAGAAGAATGCTGCCTGGGAGGCGCCAAGCTCGATCCAAGATCCAGAAGCTCCAAGCCGCGGGTAAGACGATTTCATCCCATCGGACCTCCTCCTTCTGACGCGCATTTCCAGCCAGCGACCAGCTCGTGCCGAGGAAACCGACGCCCCTCGCGGTTCTCTCTCAGATCAAGGACGATCTCGGTGTTCTTGACGGCGACTGCGACAGGGAGAGGAAGAGATTCAAGCCGGATACCGCATTCTTCGTGGCGCTGCTCCAGCGCTGCTCGTCTGCCAAGAATGTGGATCACGGCCGGCGCGTCCACTGGCACGTCCGCGATCGGGGTTTCGAGCAGAACAATCTCGTCTGTGGCCACTTGATCCAGATGTATGCGCAATGCGGCAGCGTGCCGGAGGCTCAGCAGGTTTTCGAGATCTTGGAGCGCAAGGATGTGTTCGCGTGGACGAGGATGATCGGGATCTATTGCCAGCAAGGGGATTACGATCGCGCGCTGGGGATGTTCTACCAGATGCAAGAGGAGGATGTGATGCCGACCAAGGTGACATACGTCGCGATCCTCAACGCTTGCGCTAGCACGGAATCGCTCAAGGATGGGATGGAAATCCACGGGCAAATCCTCCAGCAGGGATTCGAGGGCGATGTGTTCGTGGGGACGGCGCTGATAAACATGTATAACAAGTGTGGCAGCGTCAGGGGCGCCTGGGATTCTTTCAAGAGGCTCGAGCACAGGGACGTGGTTTCATGGACAGCCATGATCGCGGCTTGTGTCCAGCACGATCAGTTTGCTCTCGCGAGGTGGCTCTACCGGAGGATGCAGCTCGACGGCGTGGTGCCGAACAAGATCACGCTCTACACCGTCTTCAATGCTTATGGAGATCCAAACTACTTGAGCGAGGGGAAGTTTGTCTACGGCTTGGTTTCCTCGGGAGTGATGGAGTCCGACGTCCGGGTGATGAACTCCGCGGTGAATATGTTTGGCAACGCTGGGCTCCTGGGTGACGCGCGGAGGCTTTTCGAGGATATGGTGGACAGGGACGTGGTTACTTGGAACATAGTCATCACACTCTACGTGCAAAACGAGAACTTTGGCGAGGCCGTGAGGCTTTTTGGCCGCTTGCAGCAGGATGGGGTCAAGGCAAACGACATCACGTTTGTGTTGATGCTCAACGTGTATACCAGCTTGACGAGCTTGGCGAAAGGGAAGGTGATACATGAGCTTGTGAAAGAGGCTGGATATGATAGAGATGCTGTTGTTGCTACAGCTCTGATGAGTCTCTACGGGAGATGCGAGGCCCCCGGACAAGCGTGGAAGATTTTTGTCGACATGGGAAGTAAGGATGTCATTACCTGGACTGTTATGTGTGTTGCTTACGCGCAGAATGGCTTTAGGAAGGAAGCTCTTCAGCTGTTCCAGGAGATGCAGCTCGAAGGACGCAGGCCTACGAGTGCTACTCTTGTCGCTGTGCTGGATACTTGCGCACACCTTGCGGCTCTGCAAAAGGGGAGGCAGATTCACAGTCACATAATCGAGAACCGGTTTCGGATGGAGATGGTCGTGGAAACGGCGCTGATCAACATGTATGGCAAGTGCGGGAAAATGGCGGAGGCAATGAGTGTCTTCGAGAAGATGGCGAAGAGAGACATACTCGTTTGGAACTCTATGCTCGGGGCGTATGCCCAACACGGGTATTACGACGAGACTCTGCAGCTTTTCAACCAGATGCAGCTAGATGGTGTGAAGGCAGACGCAGTGAGCTTCGTGAGCGTGCTCTCGGCATTAAGTCACTCCGGATCGGTTACAGATGGTTATCAGTATTTCGTGGCTATGCTCCAAGATTTCAGCATTACTCCAACACCAGAACTCTATGGGTGCGTCGTCGACCTCTTGGGAAGGGCAGGGAGGATACAGGAAGCAGTAGATATCGTCTTGAAGCTTTCGGGATGTCTTCCAGACGGCATCTTGTGGATGACACTTCTTGGAGCCTGCCGGACACACAACAAGACGGATCAAGCTAAAGCCGCAGCCGAGCAAGTTCTTGAGCGCGATCCAAGCCATTCTGGAGCTTACGTGGTTCTGTCGAACGTTTATGCAGCAGCTGGTGACTGGGACGGTGTCAACAGAATGAGAAAATTGATGCGTAGCCGTGGCGTGAAAAAAGAACCAGGTCGTTCATCAATCGAGATTCTCAACAGGGTGCATGAGTTTTTGGAGGGAGATAGGTCCCATCCACGGCGTCATCCTATATACGCAGAGCTGGACGTTCTAAACTCAGAGATGAGAGCCGCGGGATATATCCCTGACACTAAGATGATCCTGCACGATGTCGAAGACGAGCGGAAGGAAGACATGCTTTTTTATCACAGCGAGCGATTGGCCATTGCGTTTGGCCTCATCAGTACGCCTCCGGGAACGCCTCTTCGAGTTATCAAGAACCTCAGAGTGTGCTCGGATTGTCACACAGCCACCAAGTATATCTCCAAGCTCAGGGGTCGCGAGATTTTGGTGAGGGATACTCATCGGTTCCACAACTTTAAGGACGGACGCTGTTCGTGCAAAGATTACTGGTAACATCGTTATGGTATGAAACTTTCTCAACATTTTTCAAAAGCTTGATCGGACTTTGCTTCCTAGTGGCCAGCTGTCCAATAAAGGTGAGTCAACATTTGTGGAATGATGAATTCAGCGATTTGTCGCGCTTGACTTGACGCTTTATTTTTTATTCACTCTCAGCTTCCTCATTGTGAAACGTTGAGGAGAAAAATTTGTGAAGATGGACGCTGCGAAGATGGATTCGGGGCAACGGCGACTGCAAGAGCTTGGATATAAGCAGGAGTTGAAGCGTTCTATGTCGTAAGTACACATTTGGATTGAATTTCTGGCGATTAAGATTCCTGGTGTTCTTGCAGGCCGCTAGGCAATGTTGCCATGTGTTTCTCAATTATTTCTATAATTACTGGCATTACCCCGACGTACAACACTGGTCTCAGATATGGAGGGCCTGTTTCCATTGTCTACGGATGGCTGATCGTATGCTTCTTTTCGCTGTGTATCGCTCTGTCTCTGGCGGAAATTTGCTCCGCCTATCCTACATCTGGTGGTCTCTACTTCTGGAGCTACAAGCTTGGAGGACGAAGATGGGGAGCATTTACGGCCTGGATGACCGGATGGTTAGCAGATTCAATTTTTTGTATCGGCTCTTATTCCGTGTTATGTTTCAGGTTCAACATCGCTGGAATGGTAATATGATCGTGCACTGATACTCCTTAACGACGTTCATCGCGTATGTAGTGGTCGGGAACAGCGAGCGTTAATTTCTCTCTAGCACTATTGCTACAAGTGACAATTCTCGTAAGTACAGGGGGAAGCAATGGAGGTGGTTACTATGCCTCAAAGTATGTGGTAGTCTGCCTATACGGTGGTATACTGGTACTTTGTGGACTCATCAACGTGCTCGGCATTCGATGGTTATCGTGGCTCGGTACTGTGGTTGGTTTCTTGAACATATTGGGTAAGCTCTTCTGCATTTTTTGAGTCTCTGCTTGAGTTGTGTTGCAGGTGTGTTTGTCATTGGAATTTTTCTTCTGGCATTATTGCCTCGTCAAAGTGCACAAACTGTATTTACCTCTTTTAATGAGGAAAATGGCGCTGGGATCCACAGTAAGCCATACATATTTTTGCTGGGATTGCTAATGAGCCAGTACACACTTTTGGGATACGATTCTGCTGCTCACATGGTATGTGTTCTTTTTTTCTTTGGAATCATTTTAGTTTTTCTGGAAATGCTACAGTCTGAGGAGACAAAAGCAGGAGATAAGACTAGTGGTTATGGGATAGTTGGAGCTGTTGTAGGATCCGTCGTAATGGGAACTTTATACCTTGTTCCTCTGGTGTTTACAAGCGGTGACACTCCACACTTACTGAATCCGGATAATGACACGAAGGGCTATGCAATAGCGCAACTTTTTTATGATGTATTCAAGAGCCACTCTGACAACGGAAGATGGAGCGCTTTTCTACTGATGATACCCTGTGTTCTTATCTTTTTTTGTGGAATGTTCATCGTTACTGCGGGATCGAGGTACGCATCTTTATCTATGCCGTGATTAAGTGTTCTCTCCTTCCAGAATGTGTTATGCGTTTTCTAGAGACGGAGCTTTACCTCTCTCACGGCTCTTGCATCGATTGAACAAAAGAGAGGTGCCAGTCAATGCAGTTCTTGTAGGCATTGTGATTGCATTTGTGTTGGGTTTACCGGTATGATCGTTTGCATTTCTTTTCTTCGTCTAACACTTTGGCTTGCTTCCAGTATCTGGCAAGCGCAGTTGCGTTCCAGGCAACGCTGTCTATTGCAACGATTTCCATCAGTGTTGCTTATATGATTCCAATACTACTACGTGTAACAGTTGCAAGGCACAGTTTTGTTCCTGGGCCACTCCATCTTGGGAAATTTTCTATCGTTATTGGATGGCTAGCTGTTTGCTGGATCATGACGATTACCGTGTTATTTTGCTTACCGGTGGCATATCCTGTTACAACAGAGACGCTGAATTATGCTCCAGTTATACTTGGAGGTTTCGCAATAATCCCCTTGGCGTACTGGGTTTTGAGTGGAAGACATTGGTTCCAAGGACCAGTACCAAACTATGAGTGCGTAGAAATATGATCCTCGTCGGTAAGCTACTGCATCCTTTCGCTGTGTATAGAGTTTTCTAATAAGAACGCTTTCTTTACCATATGCTTTATATCTGGATGTGAAATATCTGACTTATAAATGTATTGATGCTTTCCTTTTTCCCTAGTGTTTGAAGTTTCTTCGTTCACCTTTTGTCTCTGATAGTTTATGCTCTGACGCGCGTGCTTGCAAGCTTTTAACTTTCTTTGAAATCTTAACGTTGTTTGAATTCACATTCTTGCATTAGTTCTGCGCTATTCGTTCGGTGAGGATTTTATTTTATTTTGTTACTGTAAGAAGTTGACCATCACTTATTTGCGCAACATCTGCTTCTTCACTCAGGTGTAGAGACGGTAGCGCCAGATCCAGATCTACAGATAATTTATTTTGATGTTTTGTGTACATCAAAAGTGGGAAGAATTCTAAATACTTGATTTTTTGTGCAGGCTTTGAGCTTTGGCAGTTTGGAATTTGGACTGCTGCTTGGCCGTTGCTTCTAGTATATTCACGGCTGCGGCAGGTGATAATACGACATACACCGCTCTTTGACTCTTTCTTTCGTAGTTTGCGTAATCGGTCGAATCAGTGCTTCACCGCAAGTGTTTTCGATATATAAAGCACATAGTGGGACACTCATCTTCGCCACATCACGAGGACATAAAAGATGGAGACGGAAGCGAGATCAATTCTCGCGACAATAGACGAAGAGAAGATCGACTCCGGCCAGCAGCGGCTTCAAGAGCTTGGATACAAACAGGAGCTCAAGCGATCCATGTCGTAAGTGCAGATTTGTATTTGGTCATGGTCAAAATCCTTTGCTGGTTTTCCAGGCCTCTAGCAAATGTTGCGATGTGCTTCTCAGTGGTGTCCATACTTACTGGAGTCACTCCAACGTACAACACTGGCCTTCGATATGGAGGCCCGGTGTCCATCGTTTATGGATGGCCTATAGTGTGCTTCTTTACCACATGTATTGCCCTGTCCATGGCAGAAATCTGTTCAGCGTATCCTACATCAGGGGGCCTCTACTTCTGGAGTTACAAGCTCGCAGGCTGCAAATGGGGACCGTTTATGGCATGGATGACCGGATGGTAAGGGAAAGTTTGCTCTAAGATTAGGTGAAGCGCTGAAGTGGTGTGAATTCCAGGTTCAACATTGCTGGACTGGTACTATGATCGCGTTCATTGGTGCTCAAGTCTCTCAACACATTCGTGTGTAATGCAGTGGTCGGGACCAGCGAGCGTTTGTTTCTCACTTGCGCTGTTACTACAAGTGACAATCCTTGTAAGCACTGGAGGGGCTAATGGAGGCGGCTACTATGCTTCCAAGTACGTGGTTGTCTGCATTTACGGTGCAATACTCTTGCTCCATGGACTGATCAACGTGCTTAATGTTCGATGGTTTTCTTGGCTGGGAAACATCGCTGCTTTATGGAACATCTTGGGTAACATTTCGTTAGCATTTGCGTGTGCCTTTTTGAGGTGTCCTACTGCAGGTGTGGTTATGATTGGAGCTTTCCTACTGGCGCTTTTGCCTCGGCAAAAAGCATCGTCAGTGTTCAGCAACTTCAACCAAGACAGCAGCACCGGGATTCACAGCAAGCCATACAGATTTTTACTGGGATTGCTCATGAGCCAATACACTCTTCTGGCATACGACTCTGCGGCTCACATGGTACGTAGGCTTTTAGATGTCGACCTTGACTTACGACCATCTTGCAGTCCGAGGAGACAAAGACCGCCGACAAAACCGGTGGTTATGGCATCATTGGCGCGGTTCTAGGCTCCGTGTTGCTGGGAACTATTTACCTTTTACCCCTGGTGTTCACGAGTATTGATGTTCCACACTTACTAGACCCAGGCAATGACACCAAAGGATACGCGATTGCGCAGCTGCTTTATAATGGTTTTGAGCGCCATTTCCACGATGCAAGATGGAGTTTTCTCCTGTTGATAATGCCTTGCGGAGGGCTCTACTTCTGTGGATTGCTCAGTGTTACAACAACTTCAAGGTATCCTTTTTGTGTTACTAACTTGGTCTTAGTCTCAACGAACGCTTGCCTTTTCCCCCAGGATGACATATGCGTTCTCTAGAGATGGAGCCTTACCTCTGTCGCGGTTCTGGCATAAGCTGAACGGGAAGGAGGTTCCTGGCAACGCAGTTTTCTTGTGCATTGTCGTTGCCTTCTGTCTAGCTTTACCGGTATGTTCTTTCAACTTTGCTTTAGTAAGCTCCAGTTTGCTTTCAGTACCTGGCAAGCGAAGTTGCATTTCAAGCGACGCTTTCTATCTCCACAATTGCATTTGATATTGCGTATGGTCTGCCGATACTGCTTCGCGTTACAGGCGCAAGGCATAACTTCGTTCCGGGGCCGCTCCACCTCGGAAGATTTTCTCTCGTCATTGGCTGGCTGGCTGTTGGCTGGGTGATGGTGAGCACCGTATTATTTTGCCTGCCGGTGGCGTATCCTGTCACGATAGAGACGCTCAATTATGCTCCAGTCGCACTGGGAGGCGTGTCGATGTTCACATTGGGTTACTGGTTTTTAAGTGGGAGGCACTGGTTCCAAGGACCCGTCCCAAACATTGGATCTTTGGAAACGTAGCCGGCGAGGTAAGCGTAAATCAAGCATTCGCGTCAAGATTCACATTTCTCTCATTTTGCAGCCTACTGACAACGATGACAAATCGCGAGTATTATGAACTCCGAGAGGCCAGGTCACGCGTGCATTTCTAAGCAAGATCTTGTTTTTCCAGAACAAGGATTCAGTTTCTGTACGAAACCAGATCGAGCAGATACGTTGTCTCTCTGGAGAGGCCTCTCAGCTAATTTGTCGCTGTGAATTCTTTTTGCAGCACACAGCGTTTTACGAAATGCGTGCACATAATCTCATTTCTTAATCTGCGAATTCTCAAAGTGCACTGATATGATCCTCGTCGGTAAAAAAATCGATGGTAAGCTCTTTGGCTGTGTATACTCGCCGAGTCAATAATGCTGTATTTCTACTAAAGATCGCTTTTTTTACCATATGCTTGATATCTGAATGCGAAGATATATGACTTTTAGGTAGAGCCTGTGCGGGATGGATGCTTTTTTCTAGTGTTTGAAGTTTCTTTCGTTCACCTTTTGTGTCTAATAGTGTGTGCGTGCTTGTAATCTTTTACAGTGTTGCTTGCTTTTGAAATCTTAACGTTAATTGGAAAGAATAGCGCTGAATTAATGTGCGTATGAATAGTCTATAAACACTGTATTTTATGCAAGGGAGAGAATATTTTTCTTATTACTGTGAGAAGTTGACCATCACTTATTTGTCCAACATCTGCTTCGCTTCTTCAGTCAGGTGTAGAGACGGCAGCGCCAGATCCAGATCTGTAGGTAATTTCTTCTGATTGATTGGTTTTCTGTAGATCGGAAGAACTCTAAAAACTTGATTTTTTGTAGAGGCTAAGCGTTGTCGAATTTGGACTGGTGTCTGGCTGTTGCTTTGAGTATATTCACGGCTGTCGCGGCTGAACGGCAGGTGATAATACGACATACGCCGCTCTTTGACTCTTTCTTTCGTAGATTTTGTAATCGATCGAGTCAGTGCTTGACTATAAGTCTTTTCGATCTATGAAGCACCTTGTGGGACACTCGTCTTCACCACATCACGAGGACTTGAAGATGGAAATGGAAGCGAGATCAATTCTCGCGACAATGGACGAAGAGAAGATCGACTCCGGCCAGCGGCGGCTTCAAGAGCTTGGATACAAACAGGAGCTCAAGCGCTCCATGTCGTAAGTGCAAATTTCTGTTCTGTCATTGTCAAAATCTTTTTCTGATTTTGCAGGCCTCTAGCAAATGTTGCGATGTGCTTCTCAGTGGTGTCCATACTTACTGGAGTCACTCCGACGTACAACACTGGCCTTCGATATGGAGGCCCGGTGTCCATCGTTTATGGATGGCCTATAGTGTGCTTCTTCACCATGTGTATTGCCCTGTCCATGGCAGAGATTTGCTCAGCGTATCCTACATCGGGCGGCCTCTACTTCTGGAGTTACAAGCTCGCAGGCCGCAAATGGGGACCGTTTATGGCATGGATGACCGGATGGTAAGTGAAAGTTTCTTGTAATGTGAAGCGCTGAAGTGGTGGATTCCAGGTTCAACATTGCTGGACTGGTACTATGATCCCGTTCATTGGTGTGCAAGTCTCTGAACATATTTGACTGTAATGCAGTGGTCGGGAACAGCGAGCGTTTGTTTCTCACTCGCGCTGTTGCTACAAGTGACAATCCTTGTAAGCACTGGAGGGGGTAACGGAGGCGGCTACTATGCTTCCAAGTACGTGGTTGTCTGCATTTACGGTGCAATACTCTTGCTCCATGGACTGATCAACATGCTTAATATTCGATGGTTTTCTTGGCTGGGAAACATCGCTGCTTTGTGGAACATCTTGGGTAACATTTCGTTAGCACTTGTGTGTATCTTTCTGAGGTCCTGCTGCAGGTGTGATTATGATTGGAGCTTTCCTTCTGGCGCTTTTGCCTCGGCAAAAAGCATCATCAGTGTTCAGCAACTTCAACCAAGACAGCAGCACCGGGATTCACAGCAAGCCATACACATTTTTACTGGGATTGCTCATGAGCCAATACACCCTTTTGGCATACGACTCTGCGGCTCACATGGTACGTACTTTGTCTTTCTGCATTTAGATGTCGACCTTGACTTACGACCATCTTGCAGTCCGAGGAGACAAAGACCGCCGACAAAACCGGTGGTTATGGCATCATTGGCGCGGTTCTAGGCTCCGTCCTACTGGGGACTATTTACCTTTTACCCCTGGTGTTCACGAGCATTGATGTTCCACACTTACTGGACGCAAGCAATGACACCAAAGGATACGCGATTGCGCAGCTGCTTTATAATGGTTTTGAGAGCCATTTCCACGATGCAAGATGGAGTTTTCTCCTGTTGATAATACCTTGCGGAGGGCTCTACTTCTGTGGATTGCTCAGTGTTACAACAACTTCAAGGTATCGTTTGCGTTTCTAAGTTTGTCATAATCTTAACGAAGGCTCGTCTTATTTCCCAGGATGACATATGCGTTCTCTAGAGATGGAGCCTTACCTCTGTCGCGTTTCTGGCATAAGCTGAACGGGAAGGAGGTTCCTGGCAACGCAGTTTTCTTGTGCGTTGTCGTGGCCTTCTGTCTGGCTTTACCGGTATGTTCCATGTCTGTTTCCTGCTTTGCTTTAATAAGCTCCAGCTTGCTATCAGTATCTGGCGAGCGCAGTTGCATTTCAAGCCACGGTTTCTATCAGCACAATTTCACTTGATATCGCCTATGGTCTGCCGATACTGCTTCGCGTTACATTCGCAAGGCGCAACTTCGTTCGGGGGCCGTTCCACCTCGGAAGATTTTCGCTCATCATTGGCTGGCTGGCTGTTGGCTGGGTGATGGTGAGCACCGTCTTGTTTTGCCTGCCGGTGGCGTATCCCGTCACGATAGAGACGCTCAATTATGCTCCGGTCGCGCTGGGAGGCGTGTCGATGTTCACATTGGGTTACTGGTTTTTAAGTGGGAGGCATTGGTTCCAAGGACCCGTCCCAAACATTGGATCTGCGGAAGCGTAAAGTGGAAGGCGGCGACGTAAGTGTGAATCAAGCATTCGCTTCAAAATTCACATTTCTCTCACTTTACAGCCTACGGACAATGATGACAAATCGCGAGCATTATGAACTCCGGGAGGCCAGGTCACGCGTGCATTTCTAAGCAAGATCTTGTTTTTCCAGGTTCCATGAAAACAAGGATTCAGTTTCTGTACGAAACCAAATCGATTGTCTGTCTGGAGAGCACTCTCAGCTAACTTCTCGCTGTGAATTCTTTTTGCAGCATATACACAGCGATTTACGAAAAGCATGCACATAATCGCGTTTCTTAATCTTCCCAAAGCGCGTCTCGACCCGTACCGATTCGTCTCCTAAAGTTAAGCATATATTTCGAAACTCTGAAGCAGCGATTTGTATTTTATTCGTCTCGCACACAGGAACAGGAACGCGTGCTTGCAGCCATGCCAGCAACGCCATCGGGAAGAACACGAAGTTTTAACTGCGGCCATGGACGGAGTCCAAGGAAAAGACCGTGAGCGAGCGCCAGCAGCTCGCAAAAGCGCCAAACAATCCGCAACAAGCAGGCGAATAAAATCCACGAACTTAAGGTACAGTGACAAATGCCACTTACTGCCAAGCTAAGCTTTGGTTTTTCTTTCTTTTATATATTTTTGTTTTCTAAAGAATTATCTGGAATTCGACGCAGAGAAGTAGCAGCAGCAGCAGCAGTGGCAGGAGCATATGTGTGATTTTTTCTTAAATGGAAGCTTGCCACCACTTCTGGAATGGACACACAACACAATCGACACGGCCTTGTCGTTGGTTCGAACGAAGGCGGGCAGGCTGCGCTAGATTACGATGGCTTGTTAGGTGGCAAGCAAGCGAGCGAGCCGAAAAGCCATGGAGGCCAGGTGAGATTTTCGGTTGTTTGGGTTGGCCATGTTGAGATTATACTCATCAGTTGTAGGTGCTGCTTTACAGATGGGCGATGTTAAAGAACCAAGAAAAAAAGGAGGCCGAGAGAGAGAGAGAGAGAGAGAGAGAGAGAGAGAGAGAGCTTGCATTATGGGAGGGAGTTCCGCTGTGTCACGGTTTTCAACTATGGCAACATCAAGCATCAAGTCTCTCCGAAACGATCCAAAGAAAAAAAGGAAGGAAAAGACCCGAGTTTCGATCGAGATTCTTTATTCCGGCAAGAAATTTTCCTGGATCATCAAATCAAAGGAAAAAGAAAACCATATAAGAAACAATGGCAGGAAACGACGAGGCGATTCGTCGTCATGTAATCGCAAATTATTCCCATTTCCCAGGAGCTCTTAAAGCGCTTAAGCCGGCGGAATATACCTTGCCGTGGGGGCGACAGAGCATATTCCCGGATAGATGCGCTCTCCTTGAATGGAGATGGAAAAACTCTTTTCTCTCTTTTTTTCTCTCCATAGCTTTCCAACTGAAGTGGCATCCTAGCTAACTCCAGCCAGCCTTCGCCAGGCTTTATTTTTTGTTTGTTTTGTTGGTCTCTCTTTCTCTCGTCTTTGCCTTTGCGCGTACGCCGTGAGAGAGAGAGTGAGAGAGAGAGAAAGAGTCTCTCTTCTCTCGCGCTTAGGGCATTGGCATTCACTCTGGGCGCATTCACTCCCATTGATTTCCTCGTGCCCTCTCTCCCTCTCTCCTTTTCTGCGCCCTTGCCCTTGAATCGCGTCTCCAGCAGGGGCTATGGCGGTAGCAGGAAGACCGGCGAGCGGCAGCTCGATGGACTGGCTTGATTCTCTCGAGCGAGCGTCAGCAATCCAGTCTCTGGACCGGGCTGGAGATTGTTAGGTGAGGAGCTGTTCGTGGGTCGCTCGGCTTTCCCCCCCTGCGGCATTGATTTGAGGAGACTACTAGGCTATGGCGAATGCGCGCTGCCAGATCCAGGAATTCCCGGCGCTAGGGTTCTTCGCGAGGTAACTCCTGTCCGCATCCACAATGCAGCAGCGCCGCATTGAATCCAGGCAGCGCACTGGCGATGGGGTCTCGGGATCATCCGTGGTTTTCAGCGCCGTGGAAGCTCTGGCTATGGCGGGCGGGGAGTGATAGAGCAAGCCCTGGCTATGGCGGAGTGGAGGAACTAGAACGCGGCTCAGGATAGGATTCGGGTGTCATGGGGCAAGTGAGCTCGATCAAGGCGGCGGCAGGGAAATTGGATAAGCGGCGCGGCGGCGGCGGCGGTGGCGGCGGTGGGCGGGGCGACAAGGCAAAGATCTCCATCCTGGCATTCGAGGTGGCCAACGTCATGTCCAAATCGATCGTGCTGTGGCAGTCGCTGAGCGACCAGGAGATGATCCGGCTGCGCGGCGAGGTGATCCGGGCGGAGGGCGTGCTCAAGCTCGTCTCGGACAGCGAGGCGGCGCTGCTGGGGCTGGCGTGCCGCGAGAAGCTCCAGGACCTGGTGGCGCTGGCGGGATCGGTGGCGCGGCTGGGCAAGCGGTGCCAGGAGGCTGCGCTGCAGGGATTCGAGCACGTCTTCGCGGACATCCTCCGCCAGGCCATCGACGTGAGCGCGCTCGAGTTTAGCGCGCGGGAGATGGAGGCCAAGGTGAAGAAGATGGAGCGCTACATCGCCAGCACCAGCAACCTCTACCAGGAGCTGGAGATCCTGGCGGACCTGGAGCAGGCGGTACGGCGGATCCACGAGGACGATCCGGAGGCCTCGTCGCAGCAGCGGGACAACCTCAGCGCGCTCGAGCACAAGATCTCGTGGCAGCGGCAGGAGATCAAGTACCTGCGTGACATGTCGCTGTGGAACCGCACGTATGACAAGATCGTCATGCTGCTCGCCCGGACCATCTGTACGATCCATGGCCGGATCGTCAGCGTCTTCGGTCCCCCGGCCGCATTGGATCACGGGAACTGCAACAGCGGCTTCCTCGGCCTGGGCGAGTTCGCGAGGTTCGATCGATGCGGCCGGTTCTCACAGCAGCTCTCGGCGAATCACTCGCAAGTTCTTTCCCAGCAGCAGCAGCAGCAGCAGCAGCAGCAGCAGCAGACGGTTTCCTCTGGATCGTTTCTCCAGTTTTGTGGTGGCGGAGGTGGTGGTGGAGGAGGTGGCGGTGCCAAAGGTGGTGCTAAACCACAGACGTTCGTGGAAGCGTGCAATGGCTCTGCTACGTCGCCTTGCAATGGATCGTCGCTGGGAGCTTCCACGTCGCCATCGTCGGGGACGGAGACCTCGCAAGCAACGTCCCCGGTGGAGCAGTCGGCGGAGGTGACGCGGAGGACTTCCTCGGCGGAGGTGGCGGTGATGGATCCTTCCGCCAAGAACTCGTCGCTCGCGACCGATGCTCCTCAAGAACACCCGGCAGCGATACAAGAGGTGAGATCCTTCGTTACCACCAACGGGTACCGGAACGGATCGAGCAGGACCTTCCTGTCGCAGCCATCGAGGCACCACGTTCCGAACGGGAGGCTGACGAGCAGCCGGCTCTTCTTCGATCCGAAGTTCATCCAGCAGACGGCGCCATCGTCGACGCTGGGCGGCTCGGCGCTGGCGCTCCACTACGCAAACGTGATAATCATTGTGGAGAAGATGGTCAAGTTCCCGCAGCTGGTTGGCAACGACGCGCGCGACGATCTCTACCGGATGCTCCCCAAGAGCGTCCGGGTGGGACTCCGCACCAGGCTGAGGGCCTGCTTCAAGCCCAGCAATGGCGGCGGCGGTGGCGAGGCGGCGGTGCTCCGGCTGGAAAACTCCACCGCGGCGGCGTGGCGGGAGAGCCTGGAGGAGATTCTTGGGTGGCTGGCGCCGCTGGCGCACAACATGATCCGGTGGCAGTCGGAGCACAACTTCGAGCAGCAGGTTGTGTCGCGGACGAATGTGCTGCTGCTCCAGACGCTCTTCTTCGCGGACCAGATCAAGGCGGAGGCGTCCATCGTGGAGCTCCTGGTGGGGCTCAACTATCTGTGCTGGTACGAGAAGGAGATGAAGGCGAGCATCCCGGCGCTCGACTACGCGGCGGCGGCGGCGGCGAGCAAGGATCTGGACGAGTATCTGGATTGGCAGTTTTAGCGCACTCTCTCGAGTTGGAGATCTCTGCGTGAGACTGGCTTCTTCCCCGCGACCAAGGACGAGAGAGGAGGAGAACGGCGAAATTGTACATTGTTTGTAGCGAGTGCTCTCTATCTTTAGTCAGCTCTAGTCAATGGTGGCCGAGTCAAAGCACAATATCTAGCAACAGTGTAACCAGCTATAGTCAACGGTGGCACAGTATGTAGTCAATGCTAGTCAATATTTAGCCAACGGTACTATGCTCGTCATGTTTAGCTAGTCAATGTTTAGCCAGCTCTAGTGCCAAGTCAAAGCCAATGCTAGTCAATGTTTACCGGCGGCCGAGTTATCTAGTCAATGCTAGTCAATGTTTAACTCCAGCTGGCGGAGTCAAATTACAATATTCACTTTGACGCATTGCCAGTCAAATGATCGTCTTCCTCGTCCAGACCGTGAGCGACTGCTACGAGCGAATCCAAGCTTGCGCGACGCTGGCTATGGCGGAGGACGTCCATCTCGTCATCCAGGAGCAGCAGCCGCAGCTCTACGCTGTGTGCTTCGTGCGCAACCGGCTGATCGAGATGTATGGCAGATGCGGCAGCAGCAAGCGCGCGCGGGAGGTCTTCGATGGCATCGCGGCGTGGGAGAGGGACGATTTCTCGTGGCAGCTCATGCTTGGCGCCTACACGCGCACCGGCAGCCTCCAAGAGGCCCGGAGCTTCTTCGATTCCATGCCGTTTCCCTGCAAGGTGCTCTCGTCGTGGAACGCGATGCTCGCGGCCTATGCTCGCAGGGGGAAGATCGACGAGGTGGAAGCGATGCTCGAGTCAATGCCGCAGTGGGATCTCATCTCTTGGAACGCACTCGTAGTTGTGTATGCCCAAAATGGGCATTTTTCCAAAACCAAGCAGGCGTTTGATCGTATGCCGCAGAAGAACCTCGTATCGTGGAGCACGATTTTGGACGCTTTTGGAAAAAACGGAAACGTGAATGACGCAAAGATTATATTTGATGAAATGCCTCTTAGAGATCTCATAGCGTGGAACACAATGCTTTCAGCATATGCCCAAAACGGGCATCTGGATATTGCGATTGCTGTCTACAACCAGATGCCTCAGTGGGATCTCATCGCAGCCACAGCGATCCTCGTCGTTTACTCTCACCAGAACCGGCTCAAAGACGCACAGAGAATGTTCCAAGAGCTGCCACACAGAGATCTCGTAGCCTGGACAGCGCTGCTGTCGGTCTACTCGCAAAACGGCCATCTCGAGGACGCGAAGCGAGTCTTCGATTCCATGCCACAGAGAAACCTCATCTCCTGGAACGCGATGCTCTCGGCCTACGTCGAGAACGGTCACCTCGCCGAGGCCAGGAAGACCTTCGCTGACATGCCGGAGAGGAACTTAGGCTCGTGGAACGAGCTCTTGGGCGCGCTCGCGAGGAATGAGTTGGTGGATCAAGCAAAGAAGCTCTTCCACCGGATGCCGCAGCACAACGTGGTTTCGTGGAGCACTTTGATCTCGCTTCACGCGCTCACGGGGGATGTGGGAGAGGCCAGGCGAGCCTTTGACGGGCTCGACACAAGAGACATTGTCACATGGAATGCGATGCTCACGGCGTATGCTCAAAACGGGCATGTCGAGCAAGCGAAGGCCATCTTTGACGCGATGCCACAGCGGAACATCGTGTCCTGGACGGCCATGCTGACCGGATGTGCCGTGTCTGGGCATGTCACGAAGACGAAGATGGTGTTTGACTCCATGCCGGAGAAGAACTTGGTGTCCTGGACGGCTATGGAGGACGCGTATGCCCGGAGCGGGCATATCGACGAGGCCAAGCATATGTTCGACGAGATGCCACAGAGGGATATGTTCTCGTGGAATGTGATGCTGGCCGCGTACAGCGAGCTCGGCGACTTGAGCCAGGCAAGAGCTTTGTTCGAGACGGTGATGCCGCAGCAGGACCTGGTGTCGTGGACGGTGATGCTGGCCGCGTATGCCCAAAGCGGGTTCGTCGCTCGAGCAAAGAAGCTGTTTGATCGCATGCCCGAGAGGGACACGGTGCTGTGGGGAGCAATGCTGGCGAGCTTTGTAATCAAGGGACACTTGAGCGAGGCTCTGAATCTGTTCGAGGAGATGAAAGTCGGGGACGCTCGACCGGACGATGCCTGCTTCTCGGCGGTGCTCGGCGTTTGCTGCCACCACGGGAGAGTTTACGCGAGCCGGTGCTGTTTTGTGTCGATGCAAGTGGATTTTGGGATCGTTCCAGAGAAGCACCACTACAGCTCCATGGTCGATGCTCTTGCTCGATCGGGCTACTTGGCTGAGGCGGAAGAACTCATCCTTACAATGCCTGTGGTTCCGGACGTGTTGGAGTGGACGTCGCTGCTTGGGGCTTGCAAGAGTCACAAGCAGGTGGTGCGAGGCACGAGAGCAGCTGGTGAGATATTAAGTTTGCTCCCAAAGTGTGGGAGCCGTCTTGGAGGGAACTGTGCTTATGTTTTGCTTGCTAACTTGTTTGTCATTGATGGAGTCGAGCTGGAGGTTTACAAGGCTCTAAGGAGAAATCAAAATCAGGAATTGTACAAGACTGCAACGAAGCTCTGACGCTCTCATTGTCGAGTGGGTCTCAATTGCTCGAGCACGCAATTTTCTGTGAGATCTCGGCTACATTATCCAAAAAGCAGCAGCTCTGGAAGTAAGATGTCGCTGGAATCACTCTAAAAAAACTTCTGTTGGATTCTTTGTAAAAACATGACACATCAAACAACTCATCTTCTCAATGTAATCCTTATTAAATCTTTAAAGTTCAATGCATTATATATCATTGGGTATCACTGCTTTTAATTTTAAGTGTTTGGTGCTTTTTTAAGGCATATGTTAGTAATTTTTTAATGTTCAGTATTCATATGATGAGCATGGCATATACATAGTTTGGGCATTAGAAGCGCATTTTTCCATTTCAGTTTGGACATTATGTTTATATTACACTAAATAAACATCTTTTAAATATCTATATTTATTTGTTATTTGTTTTTAGCATTTATAAAAAAAATTTAAACATCTATAAAAATATTTTAAAAATTAAAAAAAAACTTTATGACAAAAAACAAGTAGAAAAGTTATTTATAAATGTTATCAATCTTAAAATTACTATAAACATAGTTGTTCACACTAGGCACACACAAAAAATCTTCAAAGATTCCTCACAACAAAAAATTTTGCACTTAATTAAATATAAACACACATTTTTTATAATTAACTCTTATAGTCAAATTAAATAAAACATTCTTGATTAGGATTTTAGTTAATAAAATATATAGGGGTCCATTATGTTCAATTGAATAAGTTAGTTTGCTCCAGCTTTTAACTTAATCTACAACTAAATATTTTTATATTACTAAATATATTATATGGTTGTGTAATGTCTATAAATGTATGTGTGTATCTATATATATATATATATATATATAAACCCTACCTTGATAATATGCTAATTATAGTACTTATAGAATGTCTATTTGGGATTGAATATGATCCATTCATTTTTGTATAATCCATTCATTCTTGTATATAAACAAAGCACTCATATTGGTAGAGGTGAGGGATATTACAATTGTCTTTGGAGGGCAAAGTTGTTTAGTAATGTTTTGCTCAGTATTTGGGGTTGTGTTTTTTATTCTTATCCTTTGTTCTCTCTTAAATTTATATATATATATATTAGCTTTATGCATGGTTTAGAATTTTATCTATTGTTGTGCTTAGATTGATTCTTCCTTTTGATCTTCATTACACCCATTCTTGGTATGTTGCCGTTTGTGGGATGTGATTATACAGCTTATCCTGTTCTTAGTGTTCTATTATTTCTCTTTGATATGGAACATAATTATGATATCGAATTGTGAGTTATGAATGACAAAATCCAACTTTTAGAGAATGTTCAAATATAAGCTCTATTTCGTTAAAGTGGGAATTGTCATTATCCCACTTGTAAAATAAGGTTTCCAAACCTTTATATAGTATATAAATATAACAAAATTTAACTGCATTGAGGCACATGCCATTTTATTTTAAATAAGGAAATGTCTACTCAATCACTTCTCCTCCCCCTGCCACTGCTTCACCTCTCTCTTCTCCTTGTCATCGTCGTCCAATTTCTTTCCATCCTTTTAATATTGGCTCAATTGCTCCGAGTCTAGGTGGAGCCCAAGTCCTCATTCAATCTTTACTTTCCCCTTATTAATAAAACAACTTCGTAGACTTCCAATAACATGCTGTAACACTTCTAGTATAATGCAAATCCTCTCAAAGAATTGTCTTTTAATATTAATACAATGGCATGGAACCCCATGCCATAATAAGTTACATTTTTAAATAAATACATGCCATCTCAGACTGTTATTTTTTGCCTCCAACGCCTATACAATAATCTTGGAATTTCATCACTCTCCACACTATCAGGATTTAAACCCAATAGTAATGCCATCTCTTCTCTAATACGTCCATGCTCATGTTCAGCGGTCGAAGAACCCATCCGGTTGAGCAGATTATGGAGATGCGGATAGTGCTTGGCTAGACAATATACATGCCATAAATGATGACTGGTGTCTGTCCGATCAAATGGCTTCTAATATACCGTTCCATCTGCCATTTGGTTGATTTCTGCAGCCACCTCCTGGACTGGCCGGTTCTCTATCACCATCGCTCCAAGCCGTTTTGCAAGGTCCCCCAGAACATACGGTTTCTTCTCCCTAGTTTCCATACTGCAAGAGATGGGGTGCACTGCATATGTGTGCATGTTCGCTGCAGTTTTAATCGGCGAGTCATCGATGATGAGGATTTCACTTGACCTAGCAGTCCGGTTCATCACTACAGTCTCTGGCTTGACGAAGATGGGCTTGCTACCCCTCACATAGACCATAGTCAAGCAATCCTCCTGCGTTAGGAGAAAGTCAAATGGTAATATTACTTGCGTCTGATCGTGCATCATCTGTAGCAACGTTAATGCATTGTGGCGCATCATGGATGTCCAAACTCTCAATTGCAAATTGAACCCGGCCCTCTGTTTTAAGTGTCGCATGGTCATTATTAGATCCCGCAGTTTCTCCCGTGTGATTAATGTGAATCTGTCTCTTTTGACCAACTTGCGACCGCAGGCTTTGGAGGGTGCAGTGACATTCGAGGACGAGCCACGCTCATGGGAGAAAAGGACACCGTTCAGATCAAAAACAATACAGTACTTTCGCCGTGACTCTGAAATGAAATGCGTCAGCATAAAAAATGGTACAAGTCAATTTTACCATCTACAATATTAGCGAATGGTGCTCCCGATGGTCGTTGAGAGGGTTTTGGTCGAGGAAACGTGAAGGGCGGAAATACTCTCCTCTGCAATGTGGGGTCAATCACATCCGATGGCGTGTGGGCACATGGCATTTCAGCTGTAGACTCTGGTACAACTGGCTCAACAGTGGCATGGGGTGGTTCCGATGGCGTGTGATCACACACCATTTCAGCTAGTGCCTCCGTTGGCAAAGTGGACATGACCGAACAGGCAGCAGGGGCGGTGTAGGGAGGTTCCAACGGCGCGTAGTTAGACGATTGGGCACACGTTGAGTCCGTTGGAAATGAGGATACGACCGGCTCGGCGGCTGGGGCGGCCTCATGCGGGTCCAATGGCACCTGGTCACCGTCAGTTGGATACGTGGACAAGATTGACTCAGTGGTATGGGCAGCATCAAGTGGAGCGTGGTCAGCTTGCTTGGCGTTGATATGGATAGTAGCCTCCACCAGCTCTGATGACTCTTGCAGGCAAGTAGAGTCCACTGGCGGATCCATATGCATGTCCAAATATCTCCCTTCGATTGAGATGGTATCCTCCCTACTGGCTACTAAAAACAAACTCATTAGCACATTGAATCGACTATACTGTATTTACCATCAACTGCTATTGGGCGCACTGCTGATTCTGAAGGATTGGACATACGTTTCGACCCTTGCTTGGCACTATCCTTCCTCGACACTAAAGGCTAGAGTTTGTAAATTCAACTGAATAATCTCTACTTACCATTTGCTCTGCGACCTACATGGACAATGTTAGAAATGGTAAAAGGTTAGGAATGGATGTACTATTATTTACCTGATGGTTTGTCTTGTATGACCTTCCTCCGTTGCTCTTTGGCCACCTCAGGCTGGCCATCGTCGTCATCATCGTTGTCGTCATTATTGTGATCGTCACCATTGTGAGGACCATCCAAGTCCTCTTCGTCCTCCTCTTCTTTGTCCTCCTCTTCGTCCTTCTGCTCTTCCTGCTCATTATCTTTCTCTGGCTCCTCATCCCCCTCCTGCATTTCTTCCATAGGCTGCTCAGGCTGGATGGCTTGTTCTTCCAGGACCATCTTGGGAAAATCATCTGGCCGAGTCTCCATCTCAAAATACAAGACATCCATAGCCTGTTTTAGTGCGTGACCTAGGACCGTATCCTCACCCGACTGTCTTAACATGGTTTCTGCACGTTCTTGCACCCTTCGAAGACGACGAGATGAGAAAAACGTGGCCCTGACTTGAAAAGCATCCCTTATCCATTGTACCTCTCCATTGAGATTGGGGAAGGGGAGTCCGCCATAGGAATCTGAGTCAGGAGGTGGTGACCGCGAGGCATTACCTATCATCTTTTCGTTGCCCTTCTTCCTTTTCGAATCAAACGCCTCTGATCCCGACGACTGTCCAACGTGCTTTCGCTTTTTATGACCACTGTCAGTTTGAGCTTGGCTGGTGCTTGCCTGTTTTGCCTTTGAAGAAGTGTCTCCTGCAAGGAATGGCATGAGACCACACGCCATTGCAAATATAATTTGTACCTCGTTTTTTCCTATTGCTTGTCTGTTTGTCCTTCTTCGACGCACCACCAGTGCGCTTTTCAGCCCTCGTGTCTGAATATTCACAACGATCTATAATCAAAATGGCATGAGGCCTCACGTGACCTTACCTTGTGCAGGTTGTGAGCTCGGCCCAACAGTAGCTGTTAACGCCGTTTCAGCATCTGGGGGTGGCCACGCTCCTGCATACAGAGCTTGTGAGATAACATTTAAACTTAAAGTGCGTACTCACCAGGTTCGCAGAGAAGATACTGTTTTTCTTTGGCAACTGTAATTATATGCTTCATTGAAGTCACCTCTTCAATGGAGTTTGTCACCGCAACACACGGGACACCCTTGAGTAGTGCGGCTCGAAAGAATAGTCCGCCGCAGTTGTACTCGACAACGCATTTGCCCTTGGAGTCGGAAGCAGGTGCTATTGCGTTGAAGACCCAGCTGAGCATTTCCCATGCTGCACCTGGAGCTTTCTCTGGATTCGAAAGCTCCATAGCCGTCTTCAGTTCCTCAGGCACGGGTAAATTGACCTCCCTCAGATCAATTCGATCGGCCTTGTCGAACGAAGCTGGGAAGTCACTCCAGTCCCACTCTGCTGCAGGACCAATAACAAGGGCGAGTGTGAAGATGCGGACATTCGTCGGTATCTTCTTCTTAGCCATTATCCCATGGATCTCCTGCATCTCCTTGCCTTTCAACCGAGCCTTCACCTCGTTCAAGGCCTTCCAGAACTTGTGATAG